ATTCAATAGATGTCGCAACAATGGAAAATATTTATTACAAAATTTAGATAATAAATATTTTTTCTTATTATTTTGCTTCCTTTGTTACTCAATAGATGTCACCAGAATAGAAAATATTAATATTACAAATTATTAATAATAAAAATTATCTATATTTTTTTGATATTTTGCTTCATTTGTAATTCAGTAGATGTCTGCACAATAGAAAATATTTTTATTACAAAATATAAATTCTTCTTATTTTCGGGCACAACAGCTTATGACAGGTCAAGGCCGTCCCAAAACGTTTTTGCCATCTTGATATATTCTGTACCATGACTTTCCAGTTAGTTATTCCTATTATCTTTAGGTCGCTTTCAACTGCGTCCTAGTCGGTGAACTACCGCTTTTTCATGTACCTTCTGGTTAAAAAAAAATTACTTTTTTGCTGGGTTTTGGTCATCAGATCTATAAAGTTGTCCCAGTCATCGAATGTGATTGGCCTTAATAACATGAACTTTGTCTGGTTGCTTATACTTTTTATATAACTCATGATTGTAAAGGGTGCGATATTTGCTATTCTCATAGACTGCTCCAAAAATTCTTTTAAGTATTCCGCTCTCAAAAATCAACAATCTGTTCTCCTTTTTATTAAGAGTCCAGCACTCACTACCATATAGAAGCTTTGAAGTCCTCCAGTACTGATTGTCTAGATCAGTGTTTCTTAAGCTTTTTGTTACAATAGACCCCTTTTAAAAAATTTTAAGAAGTCACGGATCCCTGCGAAAAAAATAATTTCAAAAAACATCAACTATTAGAAAACATTTAATTTTATTATTTTAATAATAGTATATAAAAATTTTAAAATTAAAATTTTTAATGTGAAGGTTCCTTAATTAATAAATTGAATTGAGGGATGGTTTTCGACAAAGCAACGCGCATATCATGGTTCAACATTCAATCGACTTCGATGTTTAGTTTTTATTGTCACAAGTGTGGAAAATCCAGCTTCGTTAAGATACACTGTAGCTAACGGAATTATAGCTGCCATAGCTCGCTTTACAAGCAATGGGTAGGCTTGTCTCGCAGAAGACCAGAACTCTGCGAGTGTTTTTGAATCGAAAACTATTTTTAGCAAGGACATTGTTCTAAGTTCAATAAGCTCATCTTTGGCAAGGTTCATATCACAAAGAAAAGGTTTTCGGATCCCCAACTCATCTTTTATATTTATCTCAACCAAATTAAAATATTTTTTAAATGAAACTTGAAGTACTTCCAGGAGCTCACAGTTTTCATTTTTCAAGTTATTCAGTAACAAATTATCTTGCCGAGATCCATTTTCAAAAAGCACTTCGTCCAACTTTTGAAAGTTTGCATATATCTCATTTTGAATTCTATTTTTTGAAAGTGGCATTTTCAATAAGAATGCTTGAAATTTCTCAGATGCATCCATAATGGTGATATCAGGCCCTTGAATTAAGAGACTTATATTGTTCATGTGATTAAAAATATTTGCCAAGTAAGTCAATTTATATGTAAAATCTTTTTTTTTTTTTTGTTGTTGAAATATTCGAAGAATGGGTTATCTTTTTCTTCTAGAAAAAGTGATACTTCTGTCTTCAACATGTAAATTGGTTTCAAAACTTGCCCTTTTGACAGCCAGCGCACTTCCGCGTGGTACAGAAGTACCTCATGTTCTGTGTCCATTTCTTGACACTGTGTTTTAAAAAGACGATGATTAAGAGCTCTACTTCTAATAAAATCCACTGTTTTAATAACTATTGATAATACTTCTTTTAGGCTGGTTGGAGTTTTTGTAGCCAGTGCATGTCTATGTAAAAAACAATGAGTAACATTAGGAGACTTTTTTAACAACAGAGCAAAATCAGATTTATTGGCAAGCTTCGCAGGTGCTCCATCTGTTGAAAGTGAATGAAGTTTTTCTTTCCAGTCGAAGTCGTGTTTGGTAAAGAAAACATTTAACATTGGTAAAACATCAACTGCCTTTGTAGTTTGCAAAAGAGACTCACAAAATAAGAATTCCTCTTTGATAGTATCAAGAGACACGTAACGAACAAAAACAAGAAGTTGACTAAAATTCGAGATGTCTGAAGATTCATACAGTTACATACTAAAGGGAAATTGCTATGCTTTCAATTCTTCGATGATCTGTTTCAAGATAATGCAAGAAATTTCAACTATTCTTGAATGTATCACATCATTTGACAATGGAATAGCCTCAAGTTTCTTTCTCTGTTCCAGTCCACAAACTGTTTCAACCATTTCCAGCTCACATGGCTTAATTAACATCTCTCCAACAGTAAGTGGTTTCTTGCTTTTGGCAATACGATACGCAACTTTGAGAGATGCCTCAACCAAAGGTTTTTGTGGAATACCAAATCCAAGTTTGGCTAATGCTCCAGATTTCGAAAACTGGACTTTCTTCTTAGTAAAAAATTCTAGATCAAGTAACCTGGACAAGGTGTCAAATGTATGTAGCTTGATAGGGGATGATAAAAATAGCACAGCAGACGGTGGTGCTAACTTAAAGCCGGTTAGTGGAGGATGTTAAAAATATGACAGGGATATTAGAGGGATGTGTGCAGTCCGCACTGAATTTGGGGTATCTCGATCACCCAGTTTCAAATATGTATGTATTTTCACCTTTTAGAAAGAAAAAAAAAAGATCAATGTTATTTAAATATTATTGATTCAAACGTTTTAAAAATTAGGAGAAGTCGGCGGACCCCTCCCGCCAAAAAAAATATGACCCATGGATTCCTAAGGGATCCATGAACCACAGGTTAAGAAACCCTGTTGTATATGATAAATTTCATTGCTTTCGGTTGGATGGTTTAGGAGTCTATAAAGGACACATCCACACAGTCCACAATTAAAATAATACTCTGTTGCATTCTTATAAATTTCGAAAACTGTTTCGGTGAGTAAAATGCAGAAAGAAATTTATAAGAGAAGATTTTTTTCAGGCCATAAAATTGACATTTTAATTTTGTAAAAAGGGGCCGTTCAAAAAGTACGTACACGAAAATGCAGAAATTTTAACCCCCTCCCCCCCCTTAGAGTACGTACATTTTATTAGTATACCCCCCTTTTTCATAAAAATTAAAATAATTATNAAAAAAAAAAAAAAAATATGAGCCATGGATTCCTAAGGGGTCCATGAACCACAGGTTAAGAAACCCTGGTCTATATGATAAATTTCATTGCTTTCGGTTGGATGGCTTAGGAGTCTGTAAAGGACATATCCACAGACAGACCACAATTAAAATAATACTTTGTTGCATTCTTATAAATTTCGAAAACTGTTTCGGTGAGTAAAAATGTAGAAAGAAATTTATAAGTGAAGAATTTTTTCAGGCCATAAAATTGACATTTTAATTTTGTACGAAGGGGTCGTTCAAAAAGTACGTACAGAAAAATGCAGAAATTTTAACCCCCTCCCCCCTTAGAGTACGTACATTTTATTAGTCTACCCCCCTTTTTCATAAAAATTAAGATAATTATGTTTTAAATAAAATTAAATATTTATCTAAAATAATTTATTCACTTAAATTATTTTAACAATAACACCCAACTTAATATTGCTTTATTTATTGATTTAAAGATAATCTGATCAATATAATAATTTCCTACAATCAATACAATTAATCTACAGTATTTTCCCAAAGACATTCCAAATGCCTCTCGAGAGACCAAGGGTGATCGTGCCCCCCCCCCCCAAGTCAAAATTCCGGAAAATTTCTTGAGTTACACATACCTATACCATTTACACCTGGATGACCTGGAGAAGTAATTAAAATTTACAAATATGTTTTCCCTTCTTGAGTTTATGATTATAATAACTATTTACTGATAAAAAATGAATATTAATAATGAATATAAACTTATAAAGTATCTGGCTCTCCCTTACAAACAAATAAACTGTGTTTTTAAGTTCCACCTTTGAAAATTTGAATTCCGGAAACTTCTATGATGAATGATTTTTTGAAACGTCTGGACCTTCGATCTCCGGAAACGTCCGGATCAGTGTTAGCGAAAAATCCGGATTTTTTCCGGAGCACAATCAGCTCTGAGAGACACCAATTCAGCGTTACTCTTGTCTGCGACTGATGAAAAATTTAGGTTATCTTCATCAACGAGACCATCTTCGTTTTCCTGGTTTCGGAGGATAACCAAAAATTCTTTCTGTCGACGAGCTGGTACAAGAACTGGTCTTACTTTGCATATTTTCTTGTGATCTTTCAAACAAGTCAAAGATGCAAAATACGTACCACAAGTAGGACAAATTTTGCGTTTAATATCACCTTCTACCGATGGGCATGCTGCATCGTATGGTATTTCTGTGATGGAATTCAAACCTATTTTTTAATTAACAGCAGCTACATTTTGACGCCCGGTGGCTGAGCAGTAGCGCTTCGCGCTGTCGTGCCACAGGTCCCTGGTTCGATCCTCGGGCCGGGTAAGGCTAACTTAGCCTTTCATCCCTTCAGTGGGTCGATAAATGAGTACCAAGCATGCTTGGGAACTAAAACACTGGGGGTTCCGCGTTCGGCTGACCAACTGACCGGAACATCTGCCAAAGCACCCCAGAGCCCAAGGTAAAGAAAACTGAGATGGGCACAGTAGGCTTTGGCCCTCAAGGGCTGTCGCGCCGCTGAGTTTAGTTTAGCAGCTACATTTTGATACATGTGTAGAAAAAAGTCAAATTTAAATTTGGCGTATGCTTATAACGTTCGTACTTTGTATAATCCCCTCCCCTCCTTCGGGATGTGCGTACTTTTTGAACGGTCCCAAGCATGCTCTTTTCTATTGAAAAAGAAAAGCATAGTAGAATGAGTTAGCAAACGTCACAGATAACCTTAACAAAAGACCTAATTTGCGGACCTAAAAAGTCGTTTTTGAGTTCTCTTCCTTCATTTCCTCTACATCTTCTCATGGTTTGTTTTACGCTCCCCTGATTATATATTCATGAGTTATGGAGGAATAATACACTTCAGAAATATATTTTTAATAGTTTATTTGGAGTGAAACATAATGAATAACCATTTACACAATAAAAAAAAATGACATGAATTAATATTTACAACGAATTAATCGAATGATTTTTAATGTCAATGCGACTTTGAAAGTGATGCAACAGGTGTGGCTGACGGTGAATGTGACGAACAAAATAGGCAAAATAAATAGAGCTTCTCTTTTATACACGATGATAGTTCTTTGCAAAGGGAAAAACTTCATCACTGACTTTTCTTTTTCTCTTGTATTTTTTTATCACTAAAAATGACTCTTTTTGTACTAGCTAAGTTCATCTCCTGAAAAAAAATAAAACAAAAATAAATTCAAGTGTATGGTGCAACCTTGATTGATTTTCGCAGACACTTAACTTTTAGAGAAAGCAGTAAAATACCTTTCCCATTTTGCGTTAGCATTTCAAATGAAAAACTAGACAAGATTAACAGATTTTATTGGTAACAAATAATAGTAGATAAATAGTAAAAATAAATAGTAGATTTGTTTTAAAATAAGTAGTAGATACTAGCTTACAAGATAAAGATGCTTCATTTACTACTTTAATTATGTCTAGTGTACATAAAGTTAAAACCTGTTTTGTTGTGCTTAAGTATTTCAAACTTTTATTTTCATTTTGACTTTTTTTTATTTTTGGACTTTTTTTTTTATCAGGCTTAACTTTTCTATTCCTTTTTAGTTTCAAATCTATAGAAAAATTGTATGCATCCTCAGAGGCTGTCAACTGATAACGTGCTTGCAGTCACTTCATAAAAGGGATGAATTCCAGAGAGTGGTGGACGCACTTTAGGGGATGCCATGTGGTACGCATGCATAATTTTGAATTTCTCTAGTAGTCATGCAAATTTTTAAAATTATTTCAAAATACAAATATGAGCCGCGATGGGTCAGGGGATAGAGCGTTCGGCTTCCAATGAGGTGAACCGGGGTTCGATCCAGGCGATGGCTGGTCGATACAAATTCCGCATCCGGCTTGCACTGACCACAGTGCTGACATGAAATATCCTCAGTGGTAGGCGGATCATAGGTTAGAGTTCCCTTACCGTCAGTCTAACCGTGGGTGGCTCTCTAGGAGTTCCCTTGTCTTCTGGATTGGGTTCAAAATTACAAGGAAACGGAGTTGAACATTACTAGTTGTAAACCCATAAAATTGGGTTGGCTGTTCAACGACGGTTATAAAATAAAATACAAATAAATAAATCACAGATTAAAATAAATTGTAACAGGAGGAGCGCAATAATTTAAATAATACTTTAAAATATTAAAAAACACTAATCTAAAATTAATTATTAAATCTTTAGAATTTATTTATTTTTTTCAAATGCATTAATAAATTGTCCTTACAACTAAGCATAAGAGTAGGTAAAATTATATCTTAACTAAACTTTTCTAAAAAAGAGTATAAAGGAATGAAAAATATTAATATTCCAATAGTTAAGAAAAGGTTTAACATGATTACATAATACTTCTAAAGAACTAATACTGCTACTTTGAAAAATTTAAGACATCTCAAAATGTCTTTCTTAGCAGCCATAATAGCAAATGTTCCTAAATGTTAATCGTTCTCGAAGACAAGATTTAATAATCTTAAGCTTCTCTCACATGTAATTTAAGTTAAAGGAATTGTCAACAAGTATTTATGCACTTAATGAAATTCAGTATACTACATTAGGAGTGTACAACCTTTTTGAGGCCGCATGCCCAAGTTTTTAGACAAACATGTTGACAGCAATTATAGGTAGTGATAGTTAACAAAACATCACTGTTCTAGCCACAAAATTCCTTTTATCACTTAACCGCATAATATATTTGCATAAAATTAAATACTTTTAAGTTTTTAAAAACTGCTAAACTAATTAATTTAGGGAAAATCGGAATCAGAATCAATTATCAGAAAAAATTCAGATAAATTGAAATAAACAATGGGAAAGCTATTGTTTTTTTTTTTTTATCACATTAAATTTTTTTATCACAACTCCATTTAAAAGATTAATTGTAACATCAAAATTTTTTATTGCTCATAAATTTAAATTTTTAAAAAAGTTAAATATTCCAGTTAATAAAATAAATCAAGTCAAATACGAGGCACATCTAGAAAGAAAGTTTCCCTATCTTTTTTTTTAAAAGAGAACTCATACTTTCAGGAACATATTTATTGGCAACAAGTGCAGCAATGTTTCAGCTATTTTTCAACATAGCCACCAGACATTTGTCGTATTGTGGGATCAACTTTTGTATCCCTCTGTCGTAGAACTTTGCCGTCTGTGAATGGAACTAGGTGGTGAAATAGTAAACGCTGACCGTTACTGTGAACGGTCAGCGTTCAAGATTAGAGGCGTGGATTAGAGATTAGAGGTTCCAGCCATTAGAGGCGTGGAATGCTTACTACAGGTGTTGTGTTCCTCCATGACAATGCTCGTCCACATACGGCTCGACGCACAGCAGCTGTGTTGACGAAATTTGGCTGGGAGTTGTTTGATCATACACCCTACAGGCCTGATCTTGCTCCCAGCGACTTTCATGTTTTTCTTGCACCTCAAGAATTTCCTGTCCTCTGGTGAGCGTTTTAGCAACGACGGAGAGCTGTAGACGTCTGTGATAGGCTTGTTCCATTTACAGACGGCAGAGTTCTACGACAGAGGGATACAAAAGTTGATCCCACGATACGACAAGTGTCTCAATTCTGGTCGTGGCTATGTTGAAAAATAGTTGAAACATTGCTGTACTTGTTGCCAATGTTCCTGAAAGTATGAGTATTTTCTCTTAGGGAAACTTACTTTTTGGATGCGCATTGTACTTTAATTTACTGAAAGTTTGCAGGATTAAAATTAAAACCAAACATTTGCAGGGTAAAATAAGATTCATCTTATAGTAGGGAATATACTTTAAAAACCTTTTAAAATAAATTATAAGAGGAAGGGAGAGAAAAGAAAGAAAACATTAATTTTTAAGGAACTATTTTCCTTGATAATAAAAACTATTAAGATACTTAAATAAAATCAGATAAGATAAAAACGGTACAAATAAACCACATAGAAATATGGTTATCTAAATGAGCTTTTCGTTACTCCCGATTCATAATAATATCGTGCTAAAACATCGAAATTTTAAAAAGGCAATGCGTAGCAGTAATTGCTGATAAAAAGTAATTTTATTTGAATTCCCTATTCAAAACTTTCAAGATGTTAAAATATATACAGTTTTTTTTTTTTTTAAAAAATCGCAATTTCAGGAGATACATAAAAACGGGTGGTAATAACTATTACAAAGTCATTGGATTTACGATGATATCGGCACACACGAAGAGCATCAAAATTTGTATATCGTAATAATGTAGTATTAAAAATATTGGGATTTTCAAAACTATGCATAAATCTTCAGTAAAAAAAATAATAATTTTTTATTTAGCTACTGCAGTCAGCACATTGAGGGTTGGAGGGCCGCAGGTTGCGCACCCCCAATCCATTTTGGAGTTGTGTACATCTCTTTGATAATAAAATGATGTTTAATTATTGAACGCTGTGTTCATTACTTTGTCTAATTTGGCAAGATGACCCCGTCCAGTTAGGAGGGCAGATGCACCTTCCCGTGTACGCATCACAAGTTGCTCTGTTACGGCAACGACATCTGAAGGAGCAGCCAGGACCGTACCTCTTCACAGGACACCCTGTACAAAGGAAACATTAAACCAAATTAATGGTGCATAAATGTGGACACAAATTTTTTATTTTACATTAAAAGATATGAATGATCATAGCACCCTAGGGGAAAAAAATCAATCTTTTAAATAAAACAAGCAATACACAATTCTTGTAAAAGATAGTACCTTAAATAACATTTGTTCTAAAGATCAAATATTAACCCAAGATAAATGCCAATATTAGTGTTTTTAAAAGGATGACCTCATTAGTTATTCAGGGTTGCCACAGAAAAAAATGAACAAAATAGTTGCTTTTAGTAGCCTAAAGCATGAAAATAGTAGCCTAAATACGAACAAAAATTTATCTCAAATTTTGTTAATGACTTAATTGTCATATAGCATGATCCATTCAGTCAAGTTGATGGCAAATACGATAATTTTTATATAAACGTTAATGTTTATATATATAAATATATATGAAAAGTGATTACTCAAATTCGAAATTCAAGCAACGTAATATCGTATTAAAAAAAAATTTTATTGATAAAATAATGCTGAATTTTGTAGCAATAATCATTGAAAAGGCAATCGAGAAATGAAATCACTAGATTTTTTTTATAAATAAAAATGAGTTTGCCTCTTCCTGAGATCCACATTCCCTTTCTTCGCAGAGGTTAATTTATGACCTCTACATTAGAGTATTTTAAGCTATCTCTTTAGTATTATTTATTTTTCTTATAAATTGAAAAAAAATAAATAATTTTTTCTACAAGCTCACGAGATGTTTAAGCTACCACATCTTTTAACGTTATTCGTGTTATATTTGCAATTGTTTCAAATTTATATTTTATCTTATGAATTAAAAAAATAAAAAAAATTTTTTGAAAACTCCACATTGTAACTCATTTTTTATTTGTAATGTATTAATCCTAGTTTTTCTCCCATTTAGCAGTAAGTGCACGTTTATCTAACAACAAATATTAAACAAATACAGTGAAACCTGCACACTCTCTGTGGAAAAGAATCATTAATTGTTAATACAAAAATGTTCAATATATAAACAAACTTGGAAAAAAAAAATTTCTTCATTATTAATAGCAAGGAGTTTCAGAATTCAAGAGTTTTGACGTCAGTTAGAAAACTTGAAAGATTCCTAAATAGTATCCTACTCAAAAGTTTTTATGAAATTATTTAAAACAAAAATATTTTATGCAAAGTTTACTGCGACGCTTATCGTCACTCAAAATTAAAATCAAAAGAAAGGGCTAAAATTAGATTTCAAGAACATTTCAAAGTGTTCGATTAAATAAAACTACCGTGGGAAATCTCCATCGGCAAATAGTAACTTAAATACGAATAAAGTAATTCAAATAATCAAATAGGTTTAAATCTTACAATGTCACCCCCATCATGGGATTAACCCCATCATGGGACAAACTCGAAAACAACAACAACTTTTGGACTTGACCTTTCCTCAAATTTGCAACTTTTTATCAAGCAAAAAATACAGGATATAAAAGCAGCGGAAGGAAAAGGTTGGGGAAGCAATCAAAAGAGCAATCGGTCAGAGGGTGTAAAAGGCTGAAACCGAAATCATGACTAAACTTGGTTAATCTCTCTCTCCATCTATTCTAAATTAATGTTAAACTAATGTTATAATGCTAAGTTGGTTTAATTGTAAATTTCATTTCTTAAATTGTTTAAATAATAAAATATTACTTGTTTAAAAGCAAGACTTATATTAATTCTTTATTTAATAGAAATAAAAACGCATTACGATGTAAATCATTTAATAATCTTTTAATTGATTTCAATCCTAAAACTAGATTACTATACTAAATGTCAAAGTTAGAACAAAAAACAAGGGGTGAAGTTTGCTATTTTTTTTTTTTTACATAAACATGGGACGGGTACAAAACTGCAATATTTGGTCGGAACTGAAATAAAATGAATTTTTTTATCTTATTTAATAAGAAAATCATTTGAAATCTGAAAAAAATAAATTACATTTTATCAAGAATACACTTAATCTCAATGCATTTCAATAATGTACACTTTGACACAGGGACCACAGAAAAATTGAAAAACACATTTTTTTCAAACTAAAACAATTAACTCCACAAATAAAGATTCTGCACAAAAATTTCATCTGAAAGCACTGTTTCATTTTTTAGTTATGTAAAGAAGTTGAATAATATAAATTTAAAAAATTACAGGAGTAGAAATTAAGAAATTTTAGTCACTGGTCTGCGAATTAATGACTGAAGAAATTGCTATTCCTCACACATTTTTACTGGTTCATTTACATGTCTCTATTAGTTATGTCATAAAAAAAGGAATATAGTAAATTTAAATGATAGAGAATGTATAATGTCTACGATTATGAGAATGATATTATGATTTAGACAGTCACAAGAAGCACATGTAGTTCTCCCCAGAGCCTGACTAAGGCATGGGCGTACGGGGCAGTTGCCCCGGGCCCCACATATGAGGGCCCCCCAAATAGAATAGAAAGTTTATTTTAGATTTCCTTCTTTAAGGAACTTTTTTTAAACAAAATATCAGTACAGTGTAAAATCCGTCATTTTTATGTTAGCTTCTTCATTAATCTATCGTATGAACACAAAAATGAATTTTTCGTTAATCCATGGCTTTCTAGAGCGGAATTTAAGTACATTTCGCCATTACGATGGACAAATTTGGCCAATCAAAAGACTGTATTCTTACATATCGCAAAATGGGATATGTTTACCAAAATACAGGATTCTGATTGGCTTAATTGAGCCATCGTAATTGCAAAAATTTAACTGAATTCCGCCCTAATGTCAGCAAGGATATAAATTTTTCGCAGCTAGATGACAAAGTTTACAATTAGAAAACTGCATTCGGCATGATGAACATAGAATCGTCAGAAAATCACTAAAATGGGCAGAACGATATTTCGTCAGACCATTGGAGGAGGGGGGGACTTAATAGCTTTTTAAAGATTTTAGTTAATTTTCTTGCTTATATGTGTTGAATGAGGTGAAAATTTAAATACCTCCATAAAGTTCGGTTCTTCATTACTAAAGTTGTGAAGCTGATGGGGGGGGGGCAAAGAAGTTTTTGCCCCGGACCCCAATTAGGCTAAGTCGGGCCCTGATTCTCCCTTCCAGAGAAAACCCATTTTTCAACCCAGGATGAAGCAGGTTCTCTTGCAGAAGTTCAAATCTCTTGTTTTTTGCAGTTTTAAATAATAATACAGTAAACTCTCGCTACTACGATATCCGGTACAACAATAACTCCCTCTATTACGAACTTGCATATGAATTAATGTTATCCACCTCTCAATGTTGCGATATTCTGTGACGCAATAAACCCCTGTAGAACGATTTCCCCCCCCCCTTCAAATTTCAACCTCATTTTCTCCATTTATTATTGGTTTTCATAAAATGTAAAAAAAATCTTATCATATTTTGCCTTTTTTTTCAGTCTTTTATGACAAGAGAATACTCACTACTGATTATGTACTCATCTTTCAGGGATGAGACTGTCCAAAAGGCAAAAAAAGCAGATTTTTCATGCGAGTAAATATTAAGTGATTTATAGTCAAAATATCAGTAACATATTCTCATCCAGTTTCGCTGAAGTAATGCCTATATATAGCAATAATCGTCAATAGAAAAACTGCGACATTTATAGCAACTAATTAAAGAAAAAAAACTTACTTTCAACAAGAATCGTGATAAAAGATTTTAAAATTGCGTGAACATAAATCACGATATTGAAATCACGTGAATGAAACTCTATATTGGATTTCAAAAATGTGAAAATACAAATCATGCTAAGTAATTTTCCGATCGCGTAAATACGAATTACGATGCATAATTTCTAAATGGCACGTCCGAAGCCTAATTTTTAAACCACGTGTAAATACGAAAATAGATGTTGGATATTACAACCGCAAAAACGAATCACGACAATGGATAAACTCGTGCGATTCCGAATCGCAATATGGGATTTTTAAATCTCATAAATAATTCCAATGAACGATATTGAAATCGCGTGAATAAGAATTGCAACTTTTAAATCAGGTTAATACGAAAACCGATGTTTGATATTAAAATGCAGCGACGTCTGGATTACGAAAATACGAGCTATCTAGCAGACGGGTAAAAATGAGGAAACTCTTATCTTCTGCTAGTAAAAGCTAATAGCTAAAATAAGTAGACACGCGGAAGGGTTGGCAACTACATAGTTTGAATTTTCAATATATTTTTCGATATATTATATCTATATATCAAATCGGAAATAAATATGATTTTATTTCAACGGCTGAATTTTCAGAAAAAGCGNTTTTTTTGAATTCCGTTGATTTTGCCTTGTTCCGGGTTTTAATATTTATGCTAGTGCCTTTTTTAACTATCGTTTAAATCATTATTTTTATTTCATTGTCTGGCAAAGTCATACTTAAATAATATGTTATTAGCTTTTTAAGATTAAGAAATTAAAAGTAAATAACTAAATGTAGCACACATACTATAATGTATTTTTATTTGAAAGCTTATCTTTTACAATCACGAATAAAATTGGGAAAGCATTCAAAATAAAATAAAAGAGAGAAAAAATCTTTAGTACTCTTGAAAATATTCCTGTACGATGCGACCGCCAGCTATGAATTTTTCGCCAAAATGACTAGCTCTCTCTACCCTAATATCTCCTCTAAGGGATTAACCCCATCATAGGACAAACTCGAAAACAACAATAACTTTTGGACTTGACCTTTCCTCAAATTTGCAATTTCTTATCAAGCAAAAAAAAATACGATATAAAAGCAGCGGAAGGAAAGGGTGGGGAAGCAATCAAAAGAGCAATCAGTCAGAGGGTGTAAAAGGCTGAAACCGAAACCATGACTAAAGTTGGTGAGTCTCTCTCTCCATCTATTCTAAATTAATGTTAAACTAATGTTATAATGCTAAGTTGGTTTAATTGTAAATGTTATTTCTTAAATTGTTTAAATAATCAAATGTTACTTGTTTAAAAGCAAGACTTATATTAATTCTTTATTTAATAAAAATATTAATCCTAAAACTAGATTACTACACTAAATGTCAAAGTTAGAACAAAAAACAAGGGGTGAAGTTTGCTATTCTTTTTTTACATAAACATGGGACGGGTACAAAACTGCAATATTTGGTCGGAACTAAAATAAAATGAATTTTTTGATCTTACTTAATAAGAAAATCATTTAAAATCTGAAAAATAAATTACATTTTATCAAGAATACATTTGATCTCAATGCATTTCAATAATGTACACTTTGACAAAGGGATCACAGAAAAATTGAAAAACACATTTTTTTAAAACTAAAACAATTAACTCCACAATTAAAGATTCTGCAAAAAATTTTTATCTGAGAACACTGTTTCATTTTTTAGTTATGTAAAGAAGTTGAATAATATAAATTAAAAAAATTACAGGAGTAGAAATTAAGAAATTTTAGTCGCTGGTCTGCGAACTAATGACTAAAGAAATTGCTATTCCTTACACATGGTTCATTTACATGTCTCTATTAGTTATGTCATAAAAAAATGAAAATAGTAAATTTAAATGACAAAGAATGCATAATGCTTACGATTATGAGAATGATTTAGTCATTCACAAGAAGCACACTTGATTCTAAGATTAATCTCACTTCCAGAGAAAGTCCATTTTTCAACCCAGGATGAAGCAGGTTCTCTTGCAGAAGTCCAAATCTCTTGTTTTTTGCAGTTTTAAATAATAATACAGTAAACTCTCACTACTACGATATCCGATACAACAATAACTCCCTCTATTACAATAATGTTTCGTGGTCCCGACGAACTTGCATATGAATTAATGTTATCCTCCTCTCAATATTGGGATATTCTCTGAAGCAATAGACCACTGTAAAACTAATTTTTTTCTTCTTCAAATTTCAATCTTATTTTCTCCATTTATTATTGGTTTTCAAATAATGTAAAAAAATCTTATTTTATCATATTTTGCCTTTTTTTTCCAGTCTTTTATGACAAGAGAAGACTCACTACTGATTATGTACTTATCTTATTTCTTTTCAACACAGTGAATGGGGTTTGTGTTCAGATTTCAACACCCCATCCTTGATATACATAGATCCTCCCCCCCCCATAGAATTGCCTCCCTAATCTCTTAAGATGTCACTGATTTCATATTTAACCATAATCAACACTCCGCAAATTAAATTTTTATGTAATATATAATTAGATTTATAGTTAATACATATATAACATTAAAATTTTTAAAAAAAAAACTTATTGTGTCCCCAAAGTATGTAGACCCTCGATATAATAATATATCCTACAACAATAAATTTATTTGGTCCCCAAAATATTGTTGCAGCGAAATTTTACTGTACTATATTAAATATTGCGAACCGCTACAAAAGAAGCTGCATGAAAAACTGAAACAACCCAAAATAAAATGCTATTCATTACTTTTATACAGAGCTGAACATTTGAAGGCTCAGTCGAAATTTCTTCTTTCATTTTATCATTCTCCCAGTTTTGAAACTTGTAACTCATTCCATAGCAAAAACTTTCAAAGTATTTTTATATAGAAATTAAATGGTCACTTACCGCTCTGACATTTATTTCCTGTCCTTCCTGGTGGGCAGATGCATCGTCCAAGCACAGAATCACATCTATTGCCATCACAATCACATTCTTGGGAACAATTTTTCCCAAATTTACCAGATTCACACACTATTATAAATGAAGAGTATTAATAATCCAATCCTTTCAAAATCTCAACAGAAAAGTGTTTTATTAATAAAAAAAAACAGCAATGAGCAATTAATGAACTTTTTAATGAATCACCTTCACATTTTTTAAATTTTTTTTTGTATACATGAAAACAGCAATTAAGGAAGTTACAGCATTGAATATAATACATTATGTTTTTAGGCAAGGTACGAAAAAGGAGAATTATTATATATATATATTGTGATGGCCACAATAGGGATTACATATTTCCTAGCTTTTAAAATTTCTTTAATTTCTTAAACATATTTTTTTGAATCATTCTTAAGCAAATTTTAATTAAAAGAAACCAATTATAAAATATTTTATTCTTTTCTTAACAATCAATGTAATGGCTAACTTTTTATTTCATCACTAATGTAAGACTCATTAATTCACTGTCGCAACAAAATCGAAAACAAAAATCAATTTATAACTCTTTATTCTTTACCACAAATATGTTTATGTTAAATACGTTAATTTTACATTATGATAATGCTCAGTCTTTTAGGCAATATCAAAAATATATACTACTTATCTATATTTTTGAGACGCTATTCACTGCCTTCCTTTAAAAAATATCAATTTAACTATTTCATTATCCATTATAAATTGCAACTTAAATAAAATTAATTTAAAGAACAAAAATGGAAGTTACTTTTCTCGCATTGTTGACCCATAAAGCCAGGAAGACAGATGCATTTTCCAGTTGTGTGGTCGCATTGGCCTTCGTTAAGACATCGGCATCTCTTTGTGCACTGATGTCCGTACCATCCACTGGGACAGGCTGTGAACATAAAGAATAAAACATATTACCTAATCACTAACAGTTCAAAGTCTAGCAAGGGAAAAAAAGGAGACATTTTGCAGAAGATTTGAAAAAAAAAGTAGAAAAGTTTGTAGGAACAAAATACAAAAAAATATATATTGTATGCACTTAAAGCCATGGGCATATGGCACAAATAACGAAATGAAAGCACATAAAAGATTTGAAAAAAACTATATAATATAATATACAATATTAATATTTTTATTAAAATGAACAGAATTAACCAAATTATTAAAATGAACATTTATTAAAATGAACAGAATCATCACTTACTCGAATAAACCAACAACACAAAGGATTTAGAAATGCAATGCCCAGTGTCATCTCTCATTTCAGTAAATTTTCTGGTTAAAGGAGATTAGTTAAATTTCTCCCCCTTGTAGTCTTATTACATGATATGGGATCCTTACTTGACAGAATTTGAATTATCTGAGCTAGACTCATATCATTTGGCAATTGATCTATTATCCTAAATATTTATCAGTTGTCAATTTATCAATTTTGAAACTTCATAAAAGCACTTATTGTTATTAAAATGTAAATGTAAAATTTTAAAACTCCCATTTTAAACAATTTTAGTGGAAATTGTAGCATTTCGGAAAATTAGAGGATTTGAGAAAAACAAGAATAATTTGCGGAAATCACTGTTAAAATTTGCACAACGAACTTGAAACCCTACTAACAATTCATCAACAGTTAGACACACTTACTTTGCTCGCAACGACTTCCAGTATATCCGTTGGAACACAAACAATATCCGTTCCTGAAGTCACAAGTGGCATTGTTGGAACATTTGCAACGGTGTTTGCAGTTCACTCCAAATTTATTTGGCGGACATCCTGGAAGAAAATAGAATTTATGAAATCACATGTTAAAATATGAGATGAATAACAATGGGAACAAATTTATTTTTGTTTTCTGTTGCATTAGATTTTTTAACGGATCTCGAATATTTTGACATCGCTGATTTCAAATCCTTCACTTCCTTTTTATGACCTGTTCAAAAGCACACGAAGAAACAATCCATAACGGGGAGGCACCCCTTGCAACATATACAATGTTTCAGGCATGGGTTCCAATGCAATTTTAATCTTGATGATGTGCCCTCGCTCCCTTTAAAGTTGCACATTTTGACAACATAAAAAATATACCAAAAATGTTGTAAAAAAAATCTGTAGCTTTCAGGAACAAAACTAATTTCAGATATGAAATCTCCACACCCGAATCAGGCAAGAGCAAGTATTTGTATAAATGTAACAAACAATTTATTTCCCAGTTTAATTAGAACATTGAATAACAATTTTTGCTACTTTTCAAACATACATTTTAAAAATTTAGTTACCTTTAGTTTTAGCTTCTTTATAAAATATTTTCTGAGATTCTGAGCTTAATTTTTGAGTGAAGTTGTGGAAAAAGGCAGTCTTCAAATTAAAAAGACAGCCTTATTTATTATTCAACTTAAGAACACATCTCAAAAAGCACCTTTTAAAAACTTGGCAGTTCTAGTGGGAAATTTTTACTAGTTTTTTTATAGTATTTACATGCATAAAATCATTATACATTTGCAAATTTTAAGATTTTAAATTGAAAATTGTTTAAAACTGACCTTTGATTTTAAGAAAATCTTAAAAATTAAATTTGATCCCTAAACCAAAACTATATATTTTAGGAAAAAATAGTGTACAGTTCAATTTTATATGAGATTCCTAATCTCCGTTTTCACCACATACGATTTCACAAATTTTTATAAAAATAAATAAATAATAAAAAAATTGCTGTGGCTGGAAGTAATATAGTTCTGTTGCTATGAGCAATCCTCAGCTTATAAAAGCAAAATGATTCATATGTAGTAATACCTTATCCTCAATTTGAACCTTGCATAAAGTTGCCCTATTTTTTTTCTCTCTTCCTACTGTAATTGATATAAAGGAGCAAAAAAGACTTTTTAAAGGAAAATGTTTTGGGTACTTTTACATGCAAAACGTACTCTCCCGACATTGTGATCCGTGGAATCCGGGAGGGCAGATACATTCTCCGTTCACTCTACTGCAATGGATGCATGATGTACACTTCTGCTCACACTTTTCTCCATAGAAACCCCTCTCACATTCTGGAATAGAAAAGCAGGACACTTTATATTGAATAAAGACATGTTTCATCAATTTTTAAGGCATGTGTTTTTACCATTGTAATATATATTTAAGAGATAATCAAACTCTTAACCAATTAGATCAATTTAGAAGACAATGAGAGGGTGGCGTCATGTCCACGGGAGATCAAATATACTTATGGTCAGAAAGCATACAGGCAACTATCAAAATGATCTCGCCCAAGAAAAATTACTTTATAAAACAGTTCTTGATAAAAGCCTACTAAAGAGTTTTCATAAAACCATGAAACATTTAAAGTTCGGTTAGAATTTTTGCTGACATGTTACTTTTTTTTCTTTAGTACAGGATTTTTATAAATGAGGTTCACTTCATTATGTCTTTGCAATACTTATTTAAATACTCTAGCAAGCAAACAATAATCTGTACAAAAACTAAGAGAATTTTAATTAAACCAGTAGACCAGGAGAAACTGGCAAAATCCCATAGAGTTGGCAGCTATTTAGTAAACAGATAAGAGAGATAACAGATCAGATTGAAAATCTTTTTATATCTGTCTCTTGCAATTCCTTAAATAAAATCGATGCTCTTGAAAATGGCACAAACCTTTATAAATTTAACAAAATATAACAATTTCTTGTCTGCTCTTTTCTATTTGCATAAATTATGCAATTTTTTTTCTTCACATTTATAAATTGAATAACAGAGAAAAAAAAGTTTTGTTGTGTGGGTAAGAAAAACATGTTTTGAACTACCGGATATGGTGAATAAATGCATTCCAGTAAATTGAAAAGTGCAAACCTTTGTCGCAACGACGTCCTGTCCACCCAGGAAAGCACTGGCATTCTCCAGAGACAATATCGCAGGAAATGGCATTCACACACTCGCACGGTCTGTCACAATTTCGACCGTAAAAACCTTCTTCACAAACAACTACTGGAACTCCATCTGAAAACATAGAATAATTACACATCTTTTTCCCTTCATAATCTCAACCTAGAAAATACTGCTTCTGATTAATTCACAGAAGAGATGAAAAAAAGAAAAAACTGACGATTTCAATAGTGATAAACACAATTCAATGGGATATTGGTATATATTTCACTCGGATGTGTTAACTAAATATGTTGTGTGATAAACAGAAAGAAGCTAATGTTGCACAACTTCTGTTGTAGCCATGAGCCCAAAATCTGCCCCTTAGTAAACGACAATCAATTAAAAAAAGAAAAGAAAAGCGTATCAATGATTTATTTATGAAATTGTTTTGTCAGTTATGACAGAAAAATAAAGTGAAAGCTATCAAGTTGACCACCTATCTAAGTTGAGTTTGATTTTAAATGACCGAATTTATCCTGCGTAATAAAAGGTAACAAAATTTTTGTAATCGGGTATTTTGTTTGTTAAATGTCCCTAGGGATATTATTGAAGGCTACTCTAAAACCTTCATAACTTGACCAAAAATATAGATTAAAATTTTACTGAATTATTGAATGTAGCATTAGAAGTTAATATAAATCATTTCGAGAGTCGACCAAAACAAACCTATTGAGGCATATGTCACAAATAAGTAAAACACAAGTAATTCTAAAATGTTGACATGAATATACATTGTAATGTTTTCTAATAGCACAGATACGTTTTTTTGTATTGATATTTTAAGAAATTATTTACATTCAATTTATATAAGACATTATATTTTATTCTATAATTAAACTCATTTTTTAAATTTCCTGGGGTATTTATTAAATGAAATTTAGTACTGTTAAATAAAATTAATGACGTTTATTTTCTTTACAATTACTATTCGGCAAGTGAATTGTCATTGTGAAGAACTGGGGTGTCATATCACAGGGTTGAAACTCAAATCTGGAGAAAAAAAATTCCCTGTACATATTATACACACTATTTTAAGAGGAAACGACAATTGCCCTGTTCTTATATGAGCTATATTGGGATAACTATATTAATTAGATTTAATTGCTGGAAAACAGCTAAACATACTGAAATAATGCTATAGTAAATGAAATAGTTTAGTATAGCTGAAATATCCCATAGATTACATGTTGAGAGGTCACCATTCTTTAAAAGACAAAATGAGAAACAAAATTCCCTGTATTTTCCCAACTGGTAAAGAAAAAATCTAAATTCCCTGCATTTTCCATGTTATTTTAGGCGAATTTTTAAATTCCCTATATTTTCCAGGTTTTCCCTGTGGAGTGGCAACCCTGTATTAGGAGGTGGCTGTAAGCAATTTCAGATCAATACCAGAGTGCGTGAGCAGTGACGGTGGTCACTGCACAGTGATGACCATATTGATTACAAAATTCTGGATTGTTCTTGACAACATTGAACTGTTGGAAGAAAAAAAATTAAGAAAATTAAATAATAAAAAACTTTGAGAAACATTGCAGAGTTAAATGTTTGAGAACAATTTGCCTTGATGTAAAGAAAATAAAGCACTGTTTTTTGTTTTTTACTGCTAGTTGAAAATGGAAGGGAAAAAATGGATTTTATCTTTGTCGTTTTCATGCTGAAATGTTTCTAAACACTCAGTATGCAAATATGAAAGAAAAGTGCTGTTTTTTTAACCTTGTAGCATGCAGTCAGCCAGGTCTCCATCACAGCTTATTTCACAATATCTTCCTGTAAATCCTTTCCTGCAGTGACACTGTCCTGTCTGGGAACAAATTAAATCAATCTAGGAGGAATTTAAAAGCTCAAAACAAATGTTACATATAGAAAAATATGACTATAAGAAAGACAAATGAAAAAGGAAACATGCATGAATACAACAAACAAAATGCACACATATACACCTGAAGTACTTTTATTGAGATGATGGCACTTTGATTAAAGATGACAAAATATGCTAATACTCATTATTAATAATAATTAACGGTGATTGTTAGTAGTTAATTTTGCTTGCTTACATCTATAGAGTAAATAAATAAAATTGAATTATTAAAAAAAAGGGTAACTTTCATGATTGAGCAAATATTTGAGCGCTCTAACTAGTCAGAAAGTGGTGGAAATTTAGATTTAAAAATTTTGTTCAGCAGAAAGTTCATGAAAATGTAGCAATAATAAATCCATGGAAAGTTTTAGCAGATTCTAATAACTGTTAGTGAATGCGTAACTGTACGATTCAGGACACAATTAGTTGTGCTTTTTTACCTACAGAGCAACCTTTCTTCGCAGTCACTGCTTTTGCTTACTTTTTTAACTTTGCTTTATTTTTAAAAAAACGCTGCACTGCTCTTGACTTCTTTTTGAAAGGGATTATTATTCAAGGGTGATTGTGAGCCCAACTCAAAAATCCTGAAAATTTCTTGAGTAAAATCATTAATGATACATTTTAAAAAATGTCTTTATAGATTTAAATTATTGATATTTTCAAAACATAAAATTCTAAATAATTTATAAGCAGCATAATTGAAATGAATAAGTATTAATAAGTTTATTTTTATCTCTAACCACATTTATCATTCTACCAGAAAAAAATACAAAGCATAAGTTCTAGTTCGAATATTTCATAATTAATTCTAATGTATAAATGTGATTGATGATTTCTTAAAACTTTTGGACCTTGGATTTCTGGAATCTTCCGGATCGTGGTTAGTGCAAAATACAGAAATCCGGATTTTTTCCAGATCATTTCTGATTATTTAGGAAAATATTTCTTTCGATTCAAAGTGAATAACATTAAGAAAGATACATTAATATTGAATAATCCTGAAAAAATATAATTAAGGGTTAATATTGGTATTTTGTAATTTTTTAAATCAGTACATAAGAATATTCCTATTTGTTTTATCACTTCATTAATTTAAAAGAAATTTTAACTGTTTTTGAAAATTGATTGAAATGTAACAAAAAAGTGTGATAAATTAATATCAAACACTTATCAATTTATATTAAAGTCTTTACTTCAGTTTTTATACTTCTTTATTTAAATTGAATTTTGAAGAAAAAAACTGCATTGAACAGACATTTTGTTTTGTAGCAGTTTGACACAATTTACGCAGCTGTTCCAACCATCCATGAGCTTTGATTAAATATTAAAGATATTTTAAATCCGTCAATTATCTAATTAATCTTAATGTAATGATATGAAAACTGTATCTATGAAAAAACGGTAAAATATTTAAATCAAATTTAGTTGATGTGTACTATTATTTACCATTTAAATTTAAAAATTATTTTTTCATCTTGTCAGATTTAAATGGCATTCTTCGACTTTTTTTTTTTTAAATTCATTGTAAAATAATGTTTTAGCACCCTTATACAAATATAAATTGTTAAATAATGCTGAAACATTAAAAAGTAGCAGAAATTTTAAAATACTATTGGAAACACTATTGAAAAGTTAAAACAAATTTCATTTAAGAAAATATAAGTGTGATAATTATTAAATGAGAAATCAATATACCTTTTATTTTTGTTTCACAGCTAAAAACTAATGTATAATGCAAATTTCAGCAAGATGAAAATAGCAAGAAAATAATGAAAATTTAAATTATTAAATTCAAAACAAAAATACTTGAATCTATCACAAAAAACATTTATGAAAAAGCTTAATTATAACAAAAAAGTTAAACAACTTGTTCTCATACTTTTTTAAACTCTTATGCATGAATAAGGAACTATTAAAAAATTTTATGTTAAAAGTCTAAATTGCTCAAATACTTCAATAAATAAATAAATAAAATAAATAATTGTTTCTAATTTTACAAGTTTTGAAGATCTGCAGAAGCTTTTTGAATAAAAGTTGACTTTAAATAAATCTCATTTAAAAAATATATAAAACAAAGACAATCTTTATTTTGACTTGTGATACAGTTAATAAAACCGAGCACCAGTTGTTTATGCGTAATAAAACTGTCAGAATAACCACAGTGCTTCAGTTCAGATTAAAACTATATTTCTATCCTTTTCATTAATGCATTTTAAAAGAAGTATAAAGTAACATTCATATTTTCATATTTTGCTAAATGCTGTGCTTTTCCAAATTTTTTCTTTCTCACAAAATTCTTATATTTCTTCATTTTATCTTTCAAAAAAAATTGTTGTTTTTCTTTGTCTAATTTGCATATTATTAATAACAATATAGAGCATTTTTTTTTACAATTGTACCAAAGCTATATAATTAATAACGTCTGGTATATAATGTTTCATTTGTATATTTTGTACACAAAAAATTATACTGGTGCAGTGGTATTAAACAAAATATTTATTTATACTTAAATCTTGAGCTGTTTCCATTTTATGAATGAAACAGACCTTAGAAACTGATTAAATTTAAAATATTTAAAAAATATATAGATCAAATTTTAAATCTATAAACTATCAGTTTATAAACAAAACATAATTAATAGTTTATGCTTTCAAATTTTACTTGGATTTTATTAAAAAGGTAGAGTGTCCAATAATAATAATAACTAAGTTAAAATGAACTGATACAAATCCTCTATTTAAGTTTCTTGCTTTAGTATTAAAAGTAAATATAAATAAACTCATTCATTTAAATCACTCGTCATACTGCAGATTCCAATTTTGTTGTTTATATCACATTCTAGAGATTTCTTTTTCTTAAATATAAATCAATAGATAGAAAAACTCAAGTATGTGATAAAGCTAAATCAAATAAATCGCTTATCCACTCTGTTAAAAAAATTTCTGATTGTCATACCCATAAAGATATAGTACAATCGCTCATCCGTCTTGTTTTACCTTAGTCTTCATAGCTAGTGCACCAGATTAAAACAAATAATATACCTTTGCCAAATAATCTTCAGCCAAAAGCAGCTTAAATTATACAATTTGTAGTTATGCAGATTGGGTCGCTTAATATATAGCAACATACAGTGGGGGCTGCAATAGCCTGGTTGGTAGGGCACTGGGACCATGTCCAAGAGGTCGTGGTCAAGAGGTTTGGCCATGCCGGCCAAAGTCTCCCTGCACAGTAAATGAGGGACTGGTGCACGTTAAATCTGTCGAGTTTCAAAGTCCTCCATGTTCCCATAACAAATTATACTTCTGGGGGTACTGATCCAGGAATTCCCTTGTCTTCTGGATTGGGTTCAAAATGACATGGCCACAGGGTTGAACATTAGTAATCATAAACCCAAAATTGGGTCTGCTGTTCAACGACCGTTATATACACACACATATATATATATATATAAATACTGTAGGGAGAGTAAAAATCAACCAGGTCAACCTTCACCTATCAAAACTATCAAAAGGTACCTCAAGATTGATTGGAGTCAACATATGTATTAGTGAATTGATGTTTAATAATTGTAGTGGTAGTTAAGCCACAATACTCCCTCGCAAGAATTTTAACAGGGATGGGATTCGATGGATGGATATCACTAATTGCCATATTTGCGAAAGCCCATTTTGAGCGCTTGTGGTGAGAGCTGTATTAAGTTCAAGGTTATATATGTGCGTTGCTATTTGCTGTCAAGTGTGTAAAGGATTCCGTTGTCTGTAAATGAATGAAATGTTCAACACTGTGATTGTAAATTGTAAAAAATAAAAAAAAACTCAAGAAGATTATGCATAAATCTAAGTACAAAGAATGAAAGAAAGGCTAAATTACCAGAGAGTCACACTTTTCAGTGTTGTTCCAAAGACAGCGACACTTCATCTGGCAATTAGATCCATAAGTGTGTCCTTTGCACTGCTTGTTGCACTTAGTGCCCCTTCGTCCAGGTGGGCAAATACAAAACCCATGAACTCCATGACAGTGTCTTGTGGGACAGGATTTGGGACACCTCTTCTCACAACCTTCCCCATACTTTCCTGATTAAATGATAACATAAACACGTTGTTAAAAGCAAATACACATATTCATTATTAAAATAGCTTAAAAAAGAAAAAGACTATGAAAATTATTATAGACATAGTTACTTCATTCTCTTACAGTTTGAACAACAATTATTTAAACTATCTACACTATATAAGGGGGAGAGGAGTTATCGACAATGTCAGCCTTCTTCTATGAAAAGGTAACCCTACATAGAATGGAATTAACATGTCTTATATACTAGGGAATTGGAATTGTATTTTTGTAGTGGTAGATACACTACAGTACATCTCCACCAGAATTATAGTGATGGAATTCGATGAACGTATACCACTGGTTGATTCCTTGCTGTTTTGTGAGAGGCCGGGAGAGCTGTATTAAGATCATCGTACTTTTGAGTACTGTATAAAGTTAACGGTCGTGATCACTCCTGTGTTGCCATTAGCAGTCGAGTGAATATGTTGTACGTTGCGTGATCAAGACTGAGTAGCAACAGCGCCGTGGATAATATCGCAGGTCACAAGTCAACTGTTCAATGTGGATCATCCATCGATGTAGGCGTGTTCAGATCGAAGTGGACGTTACTGTCAAGTTAGGCGTGTTCACATCATGTCGACAGGTCACCAATGTGAGGAGAGTAGATATCGACAATGTCAGCCCTCATCTATGAAAAGGTAACCCTACATAGAGTTGTGTTAGCATGTCTTACATGCAAGTGAATTGGAACTGTATTTTTCTAGTGATAGACACACTACAACTATATAAAGTCAAACCCGGCTATAGTGAACACGGGTTATAGTGAACTCCCGGATATAGTGGACGAAATGCTCAGTCCTGTGCCTTGCTATACACATATGTTATTTTTTATGGATATAGTGAACTAAAAAAGTGAGGAAGTTGGATATTATGAACTTTTTTCTGTCTTCGACTAATTTTTTTTCGTCATTTTTCTTAATAATTTTGAAAAGTCTACATCAAAATAAATACTTATACTGATTTTTAAAACCATCTATAAGAGTGGAATGCTGTGATAAGCATTTTCTCCTGTTAGCTTCTTTTATCACACTTCTCCATCCCTAAACAAAGGCCTACCCAGGCAGATGTATGGACAAATTTTTCCCTGCATCAGCTAAAGATTACAATTTTTTTTGTACACAAGACGAAGAGTAATAAAAAATAAAAGCAAGTTATCACATTATTTGTTACTACGTATTATTTTTCCGTCATTTCTGTATTTCATTTCATTGGTCATTTTTTTAAATAATGTGTAATAAAAAAATAATGTATATAAATAAATAATGTATAATAAAAATAACGTATAATAAAATTCTAAAGGAGTTCGGACTATTAGTTAAAATTGTTTGCTGAACGGATATAGTGAACTCCCGGTTATAGTAAACCGAAATTTCGATCCCTTGAAGGTTCACTGTAGCGGGGTTTGACTGTACTACTTTTACCTACAGATTGTAGACTGAAATACATAACTCTGCACTTTATTGAAAGGCAAAAATGCCTTCGAGAGGTATGTTTGAATGAGTTTTCGAATCAAAAGAAAAAGGAAATGCACTACAATACTATATGACGTCATCGTAAATGTTGATATTAACATCCGAGATTGTCGCAGAATATCATTGTATCTGTACGTCAACGAGACAAAGAAAGTTTCCATAGTAATCGATTTATTTTAAAAGCATATTAATCTGGTAGACATAACCTCACAAACAGAGTGACAAATGAGAAACCAAAAGAAAGATTACAAAATAATCGGCTTTAACAGAAACTTACATATTCTCATTTAACAGATAACAAATGATGCCAAGATCCACTCGTGAACGAACAAAAGAAAATGAAAATTGGTCGAGCCCAGTAGACCGTGACGTTACCGACGTTAGTTGAATGCGTGAGATCGTCATTTTAAACAGGATTGACAAAGATAGAGACTTTTTATTTTATTATCAATCAAAATAGAAAAAACTCTTTTAGCATTTATTTATCTAACACATTTTAATAGTAATTTATCAATTACGGAAATATGGGATTAACACAAGGGAAATAAGGGTAAATATGGGATTAACAAAAGGTGCATTCTTATGAAAATAGCAAAACCTTTCTTTTGTAATGAAGAATTTGATTTAGCCTGTGGTCGCCGAACNCTCACCCTGTTTTTGAGAAAGGGTGAGAAATTCTCACCCATTTTTTTTCTATGATGAAAACACTGGTGGTCGCCGAACTAAACTAAAGCTCAGTGGCGCGACAGCCCGTAATGGCTCGGCTTGGGGTCCAAGAGCAGATGTTCAAATTGAGGGGTCAGTTGAATGCGGAACCCCCAGTGGTGTTTAGTCCTCAAGCATGCTCGGTACTCATTTTATCGACCCACTCATGGCTGAGTCAACCTAGTCCAGCCCAAGGATCAAACCAAAGACCTGTGGCACGAGAGTGCAAAGAGCCACCGGGGTTCTCCAACAATGCTTTATTAAAAAATAAGAGGCTAAAATTGTAAGAAGGAAACAGTTTTTTATTTTTGCTTCACTGTGAACTAAAAAAGTCTTCCATCAAAATTTTTTTTGTATAATATTACTGACTCAAACACCTAAAACAATTTTGTGACAATAGTGGAAATGTAATATTTAACCTTCTATAAACAAGCAATTTTTGTATCCTAAGTATTAAGCCCTTTGATGGTAACTTTAACATTCTTCATAATCAAGCACTTACATTGAGCTTTTACTGTATTTAATTGAAGAATTCAAATGAAGATTAACGACAGTTCCTTCATAAAGTACCTTAAAAAATTTGAATTATTTTAAGATACTTTTTTTAAACTGACCTTGAGGACAACCAGTCTTACAGCGTCCTTTCTTGTCCTGTCCATAAGGACAAAAACAATGTCCCCTAACAGGATCGCATAGTTCCTCCTTTCGACAATGGCAGCGACTTTGGCATTCAGCACCATAATGACCCTGATAAGACAATTAATAATTGTGATAGTAAATAATTATTACAATATTATAAGCTGAAAAAATATGTAAAAGTATCTATAAGAACAAATGGATTTTTTAAAAATAGTATCTTATTAAAAAAAAATAGGCTCTCTTTATTTAAAAAGAAGACTTACTTGCGGACAGGGAATGTTGCAGAGTATGCCGGTGAAGCCTAATTGGCAAATGCAACTGAATTTATCAGGGCTGCAATATCCACCATTTTTACATTGCTGACAATTAAAGACACAGTCTGGTCCAAAGGATCCTGGTTTGCATCCTAGACATCGGATTCAAAAAATGAACACTCAAAGCTGAACACTTAAATTTCAATTTTCAGACAGAGATTTAACGAAGATTCAATATACATGCATACATAAAAAACTGCAGACTCACGACTATTCAGCCTTCCTATTGTTCAGTCAATTAAAAAAATGAAGAAATATGGATCCAGCTATTGGTAAAAACTTGTCGTGGGAAAAAAGCAAGCTTTTTTACAGTTTTTTTGTTAGTCTTTGTTTATCAATAAACATTAATTTATATCCTTTATGAGCTTAAATTTTTTTTAATCTGTTTATTTTCTTAATGTATTCTGATCTAACCTAATCTGCACTTATTAGATATCTAAATGACACAGATTGCCTCCCTGACTTATGACGTTTAGTTTGTTTAAAAATAACTATAATTTTATATATTTAGTGATTAGTTTGGAATAATGAAACAAGAATATTAGTAAGGAATATTAATTATTTTAGCTATATTATTTGTTAAAAAAAATATTAAGTATTATTAATACACTTAAACATATGATACACTTAAATGACGATTTGGCTGTTAAATGCTTAAAAAAAAAAACGAAAAAAATAAATTAAAAAATCTAATTTTTATATATATAATCACATAAATCCAATTTTTTAAAGAGAAAAGTCATAATTTTTGTCAACAAAATAGATTTTGTGTCACCTGTGGAAGACAAGTGTGAGGGTGTGTCACTAAGGGTTCCCTGTTTCTTCCTCTGTTTTTCTCTGTATGCCACATACTCAATTTCAGGAAAATCTCCTCTTTCTGGACCCAGATCGCTCTCGTCTTCTGAAAATCAAACAATCAGAATAAAACACAAAAGCATTTTCACAACCATTCAATTTTTCTTAAATAAAAAATAATCTTCGCTCACTTTCATTTGGTTTGAACTAAAATAAGTTTCAGTTTGACTCAGAGTTGGCACAGTTTAGGACAGAATGGATTAATCCTTGGATTAAACCGTCCTGTCCAAAACCCTTTTATACAAATTATGTCACAATTTAAAAAAAAATAGTGTGAAAAATAAAATGTTAATTTTGTAAGAAGAAACAGAATAAAGAAAAGTTTTTATTTTATTACAGGGCGCGTAGCCAGATTTTACAACAAAAAAATAAGCACTTTTTAAAAATGCTATGCACCCAGTATTAAAAAGTTTATTATTATTTTTAATATTGCATTATTTATCCTTGTGCAAAAACATAATTTATCAGTATTAAACGCATATTTACTGTAATTAAGGATAATGTATTCACTTTTGTTGTTCATTGAGTTATGGAGCCTCAAATTTTATAAATCTTTTTCTATTATATTATTTTCCTTTAATAACTTAAAGCAAATTGCATAAAAAGTATCAAATATTTATACACAGGCATTTAACTAAATTTCGATTAAAAAGGATTAAAAATTAAAAATAAATAAATTTAAGAAATTTTAAAAACTAGGAAACATATAATGTCCATTGTGGCATCACAACTTTGTTTACATTTTGATGTTTTGAAATTTAAAGAAAAAATTTCAGCAACTAAACCTTCATGAGTCACCTAAATTTACTTTTTTTCTACACTTTAAAGTAGATAAACAGAATTTGAAATGACTCAGTATTTTTCCTGCATTTTCGTATTGAAACAAATGTTTAAAAAAAAAATCTTGTTCGTGCCTTGATTTAACAACCACTATTTACAGAATTATGCAATTTATTAAGTTTTTGTTGTTAATTGATTTTAATTATGACCAAAATGTAAACAAAAACATTTCAATATCCAAAACAAAAAGTTTAATATTTTTTAATAAGTTTATTTTAATTAATTTTATTTTCCGAAAAAAGTTTACTCTTAAAAAACGTCTTTAGACGAGTCTATATTATTAACACTAAACATATCATAACCAGTCAAATGACCGTTTAAGAAATTTCGCATTGAAAATGAGCTTATCATCTTGTTTTTGCACATTTGTCTTCATGACTTTTTCTAACCATTACATACAGTTAATATTCCATTATTTTTTATTTTTTGTATTTTGTTTGCTTCGAATAATACCTATCGTATACCTACTTCAACCCCCATTTGACCGAGAGCACAATTTATTGCTTTATAAGGTTATCGGATCAGAAATGACGATGCAATGCGCGTTCTACGTATTGCATTCAATTAGTTGCCCATTTTTGCAAAGACTGTTGTGTAGTTAGTTCAATCGGAATAACTGTGAATTCAAATTTCGAGAAAGTACCTAACATTTTGGTAAGTAGCTTATGTTTTATTTTGATAGTTTTACTTCATTCCTAACTAACTGATACTTTTTACCCAGAAAAATGTCGAAATGATCCAGACAGCACAAGTTCTTAGAAGAAATAATACTATAAGAATAATTACAAGAGTTATATTTCTTATATCTTCTTATAATTATAGGAATTATGCAAACAATAACAATTAGAAGGAAATCACGGCGGAAAATGTACAATGGAAACCCCCGTATATGTTAAAAATGCGTTGAGCAATGAATTAAAAATTCTTATTCCTTGTATTTGTAATACATAAGAATTGGCATTATACAATTTTGTTTAATTATAAGAAAGTTTTTTTTTAGCTTATTTCCGTCCTAACATCCATACTTCATAGATTCATAGCTGCCAACACTGATAGGAAAAAATCCAGTAGATTTTACGAAATATAAAATTTCATGATAATTGTTGCATGATGTATGTACTAAATATTTTAAACATAGGGAATTTTTATAGTCATCAAAATAGAAAAAATGCAATATTTTCCACTTCTGATTGACATAAAACATACTTGAAATGTTATGTATTATGTTTACTCAGAATTTTGAATAGTAAGAGGCACTTAATTCATCAAAGATAGTTAAAATATTTTTTTAATTAAATTAAAAATAGAGTTCTGAATAAAAATAGGCTAAACATTTTTGAAGAAAAAAAAAAGTGTTGAACTATTTTTTATAAATGAGGTTTGCATTATTATGAATTATTAATACTTATTTAAATATTCAAGCAAGCAAGCAATAATCTGTACAAAAATTCTATTTCAATACGGATTTTTTTAGGAAATTTTCTCAATATTAGAGAATTTTCTAAAATGTATAAAAACCAGGAGAATTTTAATGAAACCAGTAGACCAGGAGAAACTGGCTTAATCCAGTAGTCTACTGGAAAATCCAGTAGAGTTGGCAGCTATGTAGATTCGATCAAGAAACATAAAGTCCCGTCATTTGACCGGCTATGGTAGAAATAGGTAGTGTTGGTATGTTTAGTGTTAACTATCAATGCACCACACTTAATACAATTCCCTCCCTCTCATCAAGCTGCGTGTCCCGTTGTTAAGAGAGTAAAACTGTATGAATGAATGGACTAGGATAAGAAAAAGGAGTACCCTTGATATCGCATTTTCTTTGATCTTCCAGAAGCCTATAGGCAGACAAGCAGGAACAGAAATAAGATCCTTTAGTGTTGTGGCACATTTGATCGCATCCTCCATTCTCTATTTCACACTCATCCACATCTGAAGAAAAGAAAACATTAAAAAGAGATACTTATTAAGAACTAAAATGCTTTTGAATAGATGTTTCACGGGCAAAGTAATAAAACAAAAACAATGTGGCTGTTCAATTATTAACAGGGTGCCTAGCCAAATCTAGCAACATAAAACAAACACCTTTAAAGTACTTTTTGAGCACTCAAAAAATATTTTTAAGCTCTAGATACATTAACGCGATGCAAAATAATTTTCAAAGACTTTACACGATCATAATAAAAATAACTAGTTTTTGATTAACTCTTTTTTTTTAAAATTATATTAGCCATTAAAATATGATCAAGAGATTTCAGAGAGTGGAAAATGAAGCTTGAAATTGAGAATATCATGGAGAAGAGTTGCACGTGAGAGTGCAATAATCTCACAGAACCCAGCTCACTATACGCGCATGCGGACTCGCAAGTATTTCATCAAACCTGTAAAATGATGGGGGCTTTCATATGCTATGGACCGACGGTACGCTGAAATAGATTGTGGTTGAATGAATTGTGAGAAAGTTGAATAAAACAATGTGAAACACACATTTTTGCATAACATGCGGCGAAAATTGACACGGTAAAGAAAAAAATCTCATTTTCAAAAAGGGAAAATTAGGCAGTTTTTAAAAACATCCAATGAAAAAAGCACCTTTAAGGATTTTTTAAATACGAAAATAAGTACCTTTTAAAAACGCCACGCACCATGATTAAGAAAACACCTAAGGATTAAGAAAACACCTACACATTCATTGAAACAATCACACATAATGGCAGATCTTGCAAAGGATTGGATACTTTAGCAAGATTCTGCACCATTGCACTGAGCCGGAACAACACAGACTTGGCTTCGTGTCGATTGCCTGAAGGTTATCAAGCAAGAAGACCGGCCACCTTTTTCACTGGATCTAAATCCTTTAAACTATTGTGTTTCGGGAATGTTAGATTCTAAAGTGAATGCATAGCAGTACAGAAGTTCGGATTATCTCAGAGCTTTTTTATTGTATGAATGGGACGAATTACCCTGCAAAATGATTTGTGCTTCCACCAAACAATGGCGTACGAGATTCTCTTTAGAAATCAATAAAGATGGTGGCAGATTTTAATAAAAAGTTACAAGGTTAACTTCCATTTATGGTGTTAATCATATTTGTTCTTTTCTATTTAATGTTTGAAAAATAAAATTATTCAATATTTGTAACCCTCGTGGCAGAATTGCAGGACGTTACAGAATTCTTGCAGAAAGATTTTTCTTTTGGAAAGTTTAAAAAAAAAATTACTTTTCTTTTTTATAGAAATTTACACGTAGTATTTGAATCATGCCATTAAATAATCCCTTTTCGACACGTTCAATTTATGCCAATAATATCGTAAATCGATGCAATGTTTTGATTGTATTTCGGTAGTTACTGATTTTCATAGTTTTCAAATATCCCGATATATTTTAAACATGGAAAATTTTTAACATGCCTTTTGATATTTACTTTTTAAGGCAATGATTCTTTTGAATTTTTGGCAGTTATTGCTATTGATTTCTCCACGGTTTTTAAATCCAATATTTTTTATATGTGATATTATTTATTACAATAACCCAAACTCGAAACAAAACATGCAATTGAGAGTTCGATTCTTGTGATTTCATCGCCGATCATTTTTCGGCAATTACTACTATAGATTTCATGATTTTTAATTTTTTTTATTGCGATGATTATTTATAAAATGCGTAGAAAGAAAGAATTTGTTCGTTTCCCCTGCCTCTAACGAAATGCGAGAATATCCCCCATATTAGAATAAAAAATTATTACATGTTCAATTTAAAAAATAAAAAAATCAGTTTTTATTTGTAAACATAGCACTTAAATGAGTAACATATATGTTTGTAATTATTAAAAGTATTTTGCAGAAAGATATTAGTGGTAGAGAGGCTTGTCGCAGATAGCTCAAAAAAATTCTACCACAGGGTTTATAACAGTATTTTGTAGACACCCTGTACATAGTCAAAAATATTCAATTTATAAAAGTTGATAAAATTGCACAAAAATTATAAAATTACACACTTTAGTTGGTAAAATTACACACTTCATTAATTAATTTGCAGAATAAAGTTGAAGCCCTCAAGCTGATAAGATTTAGTCTTAGTATCTGAAATCCAATCATTAAATAAAAAATTATTCAAGGCATTCCATTATTTTTTTTTAACATTGTAGAGTATAGAACATTAAAGCCTGCAGATTTATGGTCAGACAGGAACAAATAATACTTTCTTAACTGACAAATACCTCCGCAGGATTTATTATCATCCTTGAGTTTATACCCTTTGAAACAGGAGCAAATGGGTCCTTTTGAATCTTCCTGACATTTCTGTTCGCAACCCCCGTTATCTTTTTTGCAATGGCTCACTAACTCTTCCGCAATTCCTGAAAAAGAAATGGTTTTTGAAATTTCTTGTTTTAAGCGTATTTGGAAACAACATAATCAATAGCAATTTCAAGTTTGAAAATCTGAATTCACAATTTGGTGGTGGTGGGGCATTAGGTAATAACTACTTACATATTTATGTTTGTTAAATTTTACAGGGTATCTGCTACATTTTAGATTTTCAAATTCATGTCTCTTCATGATTTTTCATAACTAATTCCAAGAATTTTTTATGACTTGAAGAAGTTACAATTTTCTCTGACAAAAACATAGTAAATTTAAAAAAGCATTATAATAACATTCATTGAAATGGTAAGTGTAACCAAATCTGTTATATACTCTGCATCTTTATATTTATAGATTTCAAATTTAAAAAACAGAGAAAAGAAAGAGTTGAAGTTATAAAATAGCTGGGGGAAAAAATAAAAAAGCAATTTTTTTCTTTTTTCTACAGAATTATATTCTAAAGATACTTTTCTTGTCCATCAGAAAGGAAAGAAATACTCCTTACTTGTCTGTTTTCATTTCGAAAAAAAAAATCGTTAATGATTGGCTTGCCTGGGCTTGAAATTTAAATTGATAAATAAATAATAAAAATTCCTAAATCACAGAAGTTCAAAAGATAATTTGCTCTAGAAATAATGTTTTTTCTTTCATTTTTTGAAAAGAACATGATAAAGACATTTTATATTCTAATAAAATATGACTGTGAGTAGTGATTTTGTTAGGGATTCAGATATCTGGAACATGATGAAATTGAGGGAGGGGGGATTTCATTATAAAAATTAGATTTTTGGCAACCTAAATCCATGACTTTCCATGATTTTTTTTAAAAAATTGTAAAAATCATGACATTTCATGACAAATTTTGTTCAATACTGAAATTCATGACTTTCCAGGTGTGCGGATACCTTGATTTTAGTAAGCTAATTGCGTTGTCTCACCAATCACGTCACGATTTCAAATCACCTGACTTGGAAAGAACATAGTAATTTACTTGTCAAAAAGAAACAGTAAAGGGGATTATTGTGACATAACGTATGACTGATAAGTTTCCTGAAAAAAATGTTACTTATATTATGAATGACCATAAATTAGGAACTTGCACTTCAAGAAGAAGACCTTCCGTACCCACACTTGTGACCTATGACATCAGGGCCAGCTAATCTTTATCAGCAAAATGGTGTCAGTGGCGGATCCAGTGGGTGGTTGGGGTCATGACCCCCCAAAATTGAAAAAATAAAATTAAAATAATAATTTTTTTAATAGTTTAGAAAAGAAATAAAATATTTTAAAAATTATTTAAGGGGGCATATACACCTAAGTAGGTCGGAAAAATTGGTTGTCACCCATATCTAATTATGTTCTTCACTGTTTTCAGAATCATAATCCAAAAGATTAAAACGAAATTCGTCATCGTTTCATTGTAAACATTAATAATGTTGAAGTGTGCCGAGCGCTCCAAGTGCGCTTCAACAGGTTTAACCAAAAATTGTATAAAGGTGAAGATGGGAAACTTGCGTTGAAAAAAATCATTGACAGATTTGCCGAAGTTTCTAAAAAACACATAACATTTATTATTTAGAGATTTTGAATACTTGAATTATTTATGTATTGTTCTACTGTTCATTATGATAAAAATAAATGAGAAGACTAGCATTAAAAACCCGTTTTTTATTTTTCAAAAAAAATGTGAAAAAAATTTTTTTTTTCTTAAAAACTTTTTTTTTGCATGCGTGTGTGGGGGAATCTGAGTCTATGACCATCCCCCAGGAAAAATTTCTGGATCCGCCCCTGATTAAAGTTGAGCTAAGTTTCTCCACATAAGTTAAAATGTTAATGAACGATAAGTTAAATAAATACAGAGCCATATCACACATCAAATTAATTGAAATATAATTCTTTAACTTCAACTTCTTTTACTTAACTTAGATTTATTATTTGTTTATGTATTCTATTGTAACCGTGATACATTATTGTTTTGTGTACCTGGCAACTTAGATGCAAGATTATTTCATTTATAATCCACATGGCTTCATGCCTGTTATTGCGTTAAGTCTCTGTGTGAACACATAGTGAAAAATTTTAAACCTTTGAGAACGATTCTTCGTGAAAGAATTTATAATGTGTTACTTAACAGAATTGAAACTTGATGGGTTTGGCTTTCTCGAAATAGAATGGAAAGAACAGCTGCTAACGTAAACAGATGCTCGTTTTAGTCAGGAGATGCCCACACTACGTCACTTGCAGGCATCCCATTACGGTCCCCTAAGACTTAGGAAAAGAAGGGGTCGTTCACAGTGTTTTACAGTTATAGAGAGGTAATATCAAAGAAAACAATGGATTAAATAATTTTGTGGAAACTTTTTTTCAATGAAGGACTACAACCTTCTGGAAGGACTACAACCTGATGGAACAAACCTTCTGTCATTATAATGGAAGGGTCACTGTAATGACATTAAAAAAAAACCATTGTGTCTATGGAATAACAAACCTTCTGCCATTATAATGGAAGGGTCACTGTAATGACATTAAAAAAAAACATTGTGTCCATGGAATAACAAACCTTCTGTCATTATAATGGAAGGGTCACTGTAATGACATTAAAAAAAAACATTGTGTCTATGGAATAACAAACCTTCTGTCATTATAATGGAAGGCTCACTGTAATGACATTTAAAAAAAACATTGTGTCTATGGAATAACAAATCTTCTGTCATTATAATGGAAGGGTCACTGTAATGACATTAAAAAAAACATAGTGTCTATGGAATAACAAACCTTCTGTCATTATAATGGAAGGGTCACGGTAATGACATTAAAAAAAACATTGCGTCTATGGAATAACAAACCTTCTGTCATTATAATAGAAGGGTCACTGTAATGAGGGTCATTTAAAAGAGAGGTATACTCAAAAGAAGAATGTGGAACTCACTAAAACAAGATCTTCCGTCAGAATGAAGCTGAAATCCAGGTTTGCAAGAACATTGGAAAGATCCAAGCGTGTTATTGCAAATATGGCTGCAATTGGAAAATTCACTGCATTCATTAATATCTGAAAGTGGAAGAAAAACACTGAATAATATTGCAATAGTTTTTTAAATGCAGTTGCGAATAAATTAGAAAAATAAAACAAAGTCTAAGGATTTGTGATTTATGATAGGCAGGTTTATTATACAAATGAAGAAAGATATACTTTGTGCTATGAATCCAATCTGATTGAAAAGCACAAAAAATATTTGGATTTTTTTTTCCCTCACTCAATCTTATATTTCTGAATAAAAAATTAAATTATTCAGTTCTTTATTACTCAATAATAAGTGGCAACAGCCGTTCCCATTTCTTTCGGCAGTAGAAATATTAAAATGATTGAGCTTCGTTTGGTGGAACCCTAATTTTATAAAAAAAGTTCATTAAAGTTAGAAAGATTGCTAACTATCTAATGAGCCCTGTGGCAGAATTTTTTTGAGCTATCTGCGTCAAAACTCTCTAGCACTAATATCTTTCTGCAAGATATTTTTAATAATAACAAACATATATGTTACTAATTTGAAATAACAAAAGTGCTGTGTTTACAAATAAACTCGTATAAATTATTATCATTGAACATGTAATAATTTTTTATTCTAACATTATGGGTGATATTCGCACATTTTATTGGGGGTGGGATGGACAAATAATTTCCTTTGCATTTTGTAAATAATCATCACAATAAAAAACATGTAAAATTAAAAATCCTGAAATCTGTAGTAGTAATCGCCGAAAAAAGATTGCAGATCAAATCATGCGAGTCGGACTCCTCAAATGCTTGTTTCATTTCGAGATTAGGATGTTGTAATAAATATCATATAAAAATATTGGATATAAAAACTATGGAGAATTCAATAGCAATAACAGCTAAAAATTTCATAGAATTATTGCTTTAAAAAGTAAATATTCAAATGCACTATTCAATTGTTCCATTTAAAATATATTTAAAATAATCATGAAAATCAATATCCATAACTGCCGTGAATACAATCAAAATATTACATCGATTTACGATACTATCGGCGTATATTTGAGGTGTAAAAAAGTGATTATCTAAAAGCATAGTTCAAATATCACATGTAGATTTCTGCAGGAGAAAAAAGTAATTTTTTCTTCACTTTTCAAAAAAAAAAAAAAAAACCTTTCTGCAAGAACTCTGTAATGCTGTTGCTGCGATTCTGAACTGTTAATGAGATTTCGTAACACATTTGAATCAACATTTCTGGAGTGATGTTTAGTCTAGTTCAGAATTTGCTTCTCATATATTCATAACTTGAAGTTAAATAAAATTAGCTGATTTATGGTTTTCAAAAAAAAAAGAAAAAAAAGACTTCTGAATGTTGAAAATAGTTAGAGAAAAATAATTCATTTTTGTAATTTTATTTTTTACACTTCAATGAGAAATACTGAAGCTAATATTCTTATAAATACACACAGGGAAAGAAGAACATTAATAAAACTTCAAAAAAGGTGATTAATTTATTTAAAAAAAAGGTGAATAAAAAATGACTCATTTTTTAAATAAAATAGGTAGTTTTTCTTTTTTTCTTTAGTTACTAGATGCATAGTTGTGATTTCACTGCAATCTAAATATGAGTGAGTATAAATGCAAATTGATGTTCTTAAACAACAATTTTAATACTTAACTTTTCCTACTGTTAAAACATAATTAGATAATAAAACTAGAAGGAAATCTCCAAACAAAAATATCTTGGTCAGACCAATTAAGGCATTTGCCTGATAAATATTTTTTATTACAAATTTTACAATATTGATCTACTTTATTTTTGCTTAACATTTCTTATGTTTTTACATCTTTTACTAAATAAAAAATTATGGATATAATAATGAAGAACGGTTGCATACATTTCTAATTATTCTATTTTTGGGTTTTATCTTGTTTTTTTCTTTTTTTTTTTAATATAAAAAAGAAAAAATGACTGCTAGCTTTCGTTTTTCAAGTATATAATCCAGTGGCAGAGTTTTTTCAAGCTACCTGCATCAAAACTCTCTAGCACTAATATCTTTCTGCAAGATACTTTTAATAATAACAAACATATATGTTACTAATTTAAAATAACAAAAACTTTATAATTTTTTAATTGAACATGTAATAAATTTTATTCTAATCTTATGGGTGATATTCTTGCATTTTGTTGTGGGAGGGGGGGGCACAAGTTATTTCCTTCCTCGCCATCGCAAATGTTATCTCAATTAAAAAAAAAAATTTTAAATGTAAAATCATGACATCTATAAAGGCAAAAGTAGTAATTGGCGTAAAAAAGATCTACGAAGAAATCACGCGAATCAAACTCAAAAAACGAGTGTTTCAGTTCAAGATTAGATTGTTGTCATAAATAATATCGTATGAAAAATGTTTTTAAAAACTATGGAGAAATCAATAGCAATAAATGCCAAAAATTTGATAGAATTATTGCCTTAAAAATTAAATATTCAAATGCACGATTTGAATTTTCCATATTGCTTGAAATATATCGGGATATTTAAAATCCAGGTGAAAATCAATATCAATAACGAAAATACAGTAAAAACATTACATCGTCTCACGATACTATTGATGTAAACCGAGCACATCAAAAAGAGATTTTCTAAATGCATGATTCAAATATTACATGTAAATTTCTGTTGAAAAGAAAAGTAATTTTTTCTTTACTTTTCAAAAGAAAAATCTTTTTACAAGAACTCTGTAACGTTCTGCTACAATGTCGCCACGATTCTGCCACGGAAGTATATCATATCAAGTATTTTCTTTTCAAGTTTATAATGGTTTTTTTTTTTCAAATGACGATTATTACGTCTTGAAATGTCAGGTCTTCTAATGATGATTCTAATAATGATTCTTTTTCAAAACATAAATAATAAATCAGGTAGCAAATACACATATACAAGAAATACTACTCAAGACTGTCTGAAAACACAATTATCACGCTGTGAGCTAAATGAGTTCAAAATACACTGGAAAGAGCAACCCAGAAATATGGGCAGTTAAGAACTTTCAGCACATCTCAGTGTAGAAAACATCATACATTGGCCACATTTATGTAAACAAAGCCCTTCATTGGTTAATTTATTTTCTTTGTAATTTTTAAAAATCGCCAAATGACTGCACAAATCATAAGCAAAAAATAAGTTTCACAAAGACATAAAAATTGATGAAGTTGGTAAGAAGTATATTCATGAAGTGATGTGCTTGGATATCATTATCTTTGAAGAAAATAAATCTGTTACTTATAATGCAAAACAAACTTTTTCGGGCTTTCTGTAAGATACTTATAAAAATAACAAATATACATCTTACTAATTTAAAGTAACAGAAGCGTCAACGAAAAAAAAAGAAAGAAAATAATTTTTTTTTAATTGAATAAGTAATATTTGCTTTATTATACTACTATGGGGGATAATCTCGCATTTTGTAGAGGGATAACACACTATTTCCTTTTTCACATTTTGTATAATTCATCATCACATTAAAAAAAGTAATAAAAAAGAATCTCAAAACCCGTAACAGTAGTAACTACCCAAAAAAAAGAAAAAGACCAACGATGAAATCACCCAGACTCTTTAAAAAGGGGTTAAGTGCATGTTTTCTTGTTTTGTTGCGAGTTTTCATTTCGGAATTCAGTTGCGGTAATAAATAATATCGTATAAAAAATATCGCATTTAAAATATCAGATTTTAAAAGCTATGAAGAAATCAATAGTAATAACAGCATAAAAATAGAACGAAAATTTCTACAGAAAACAAAACCAAATTTTTTACCTCATTAGTCTTTATGTTTTATTATTCTCAAATGAAAATAGAAAAATCACAAACATTTTTCTCCACTCCGATGCGCGAGAAAGGCATCTTTGAATATAATTCGGAAGAAAAGATAAAATCTTTTGAAAATTTCTGCAGAGAAGAAAAGTGAAATTTTTATTTCCCAAAGGAAACATTTTTCAGCAAGAACTTTGTAGCGTTCTGCGACAATGTCGCCACAATTCTCCCACAGGGTCGAAGTCAATTTTGAATTGGCTACCAGATAACAACTTAAATGAGAAATCCACAAATTGAATAACAAAAATGTCTTCTAAATGAATCCCAAACAAACCTTCACATATCTTTGTGCTGATTTTCAGCCTATAACCAGGATAGCAACTGCAGCTCGCTTCTCCATCTATAGCTAGACACACATGTTCGCATCCCCCGTTCTCAACCTCGCAAGGATCAATCCCTGCAAAAAGAATTAAATACGTAAGTAAAAATAATTATGGAATACTTCATCTGATTGAATAAAGCATTTGAATATACAATTAAACTATGCAGTTCTTCGTTGCGTAATGGATGCAACATTAATTCTTACTACATTGCCCTATAATAAATATTCCATTAAGTGGAAACTGGCTAATAATGCATGTACAGAAACCTCTGCCAATTAAAATCACATCTGTTCTAAGAACAGTTGATTTTATAAACCAGATTATCTAGACTAAGGAGAAAAAAATGATTCAAAGTTAAACTTTGGAGATATACTACAAGCTAAATTGAATATTACATCTATATTTTATTTTTATTTAATCTACATTCAAGAAAATAGTAATAATAGAATATTTACTGAATTCACATAAAAGAACTACATTTTTTTAAAGTTTTCAGAATGGTTTAATTATAAATTTTTGTAACTCACACCCTTTTATTTCCTTAAGAAGTGTATTTCACATCAGTAACTTAATTATTTTCGTTTGTTGAGGGAAGAACTGAAATTCTTTATTTATGAGCTTCAAAAACGTGTGAACATTGTAAATTCTGAGTATGCAGACAAGAAAAACCATAGTTTTTATTTTTTAAAACATATGCCATACAAAAATTTTATTTTGCAAAATGACAATGTTTTTATAAAAACGATGGTTTTAGCATGTTTTGATATTGTAATGATTCCACTATTGTAGTTGTTTTTTCTAACAACAGCATTTGAAAAAACATTTGTTGACTAATGTGTCACAAACACACATATCACAAATCCATGAAGTTAAGCTAAACAGCATAAAAGATAAAATTGCAAAAATGAAACATGGCAAATAACAGTCCAGAAATCTAAAGGCTTCTATCTAGTCTGCCAGCATCTATAGCCTATTTTCAAGAGTTCTTTTGCAGATTTGATTTTAAAAAGCACCTGATTTTGTAATCCAGCAATTTTCATAGCTGCGAACATGGATAGGAAAAAACTCAGCAAATTTTGCGAAATATTATAAATTTTTTGATAATTGTTGCATAATGATTACAAATTTTACACATAAGGAATTTTAAGGATTTTTATAGTCATCAAAATAGAAAGACTGCAACATTTTCCAGTTATCACTGACATTAAACACATATTTGAAATGTTATGTATTACGCTGACTCATAATTTTGAATATTAATACACATTTAATTAATTCATCAAAGATAGCTTTTAGTTATTTTTAGATAGTTTTTAAAAGATTTTTTTAATTAGTTTGAAAAGAGTTCTGAATAAAAATAACCTGAAAATTTTAAGACAAAAAAAGTTTCGAACTGATTTTTATAAATGAGGTTCGCTTCATTATGTATCAGTAATACTTATTTAAATATTCAAGCAAGCAATAATCTGTATAAAAATTCTATTTCAGTAGGGATTTTTTTAACGAAAATTACTCAATATTAGGGAATTTTCTAAAATGTAAAAAAACCAGGAGAATTTTAATTAAACCAATAGACCAGGAGAAACTAGCAAATTCCAGAAGAGTTGGCAGCTTTGAATTTTTATGAGTGGTTGTCATTTCATTCCATTTAGAGGAAACAGATAAATGACATGTATACTATGTTTAAGACCATTTCCATTGGTGCATCATTAAACAAAATAAAATTATCACTTTTTGACATTTTCTAACAGTTATATCGCAAGTCTTATTCAATTATAAGTTATGTTGCTGTTACTCATCCCCCTGGTGTAAGAAAGCCAACACCAGGCTTTCCCTGTTACCTGATTATTAAAAACCAAAGGGTAATATGTAGCTTCACTTGATTGAGGGACCACGAGGGCTGAAGACAATCTAAACCTCAAAACTTGCCTGCAGTCATTAGCTATGCATAATGGAATGCCCTTCACGCCTTGGACGACCCTAGAAGGATAATACACTTCGCCCACTCTGAGCAGGAACACCCCCTCCCTACCATAACTATGGAGGTTTTTTAAGTTATTATCGGATTGTACATTTAAATGTTTTTCCTTTTAATTAAAAACCAATATTCTGTCTTCTAATTATATCAATCATACCAATTACAAAACTAACCAATTTGACCAACCCATTAAATTATTTACTTTTAATTAATATTTTTACAAATAGATCATTTATTTTAAATTTTTAAGAAATAGTTCAAGAGAGAATACAATGGGATTAATTTTTACGAATGAAGCAGGGTCATGGTGCGTAGCCGAATTATTCAACAAAAAATAAGCACCTTTTAAGCACTTTTCAAGCACTCAAATAATATTTCTAAGCACTGTAAAAAAATCACAATTAGGAAGTTTTTGACAATTGACGATATTATCTGGTTTAAACCGTCATGTCAAAAAAAAGAAACCACACCTTTTGGCATTGCTTTTGAGAATTTTCAAAATTTTTCAATCATGTAAATCGAATGGCGTTTCCAAACTCTACGGACTGACGATAAGCCGAAATAGATAGGTGTTGAATTAATTGTGAAAACGTTTAATAGAACAATGTGAACAGTGTCTTTCAGCATAATTCGTAGCAAAAATCAACATCCTAAAGGGAAAATGAAGCACTTTTTAAAAACACCAAATGAAAAAAGTACCTTTAAGAGCTTTCAAAAAACGAAAATCGAAAATAAGTTCCCTTAAGCACTTTTTAAAAAAGCTATGCACCCTGCAGGTTACACAGAATGCTGATCTGAACATTAAACTTGAACTTAAAAAACTGTCAATGACATCTTAAAAAAACATAAAAAATTTAATTAACATAGATGTGTCAAGTTAATTTTGAAAAAAAGTTATTGAACAAACTGTTCCAATTGACTTACTTTCACAATTCTTCCCATCATGTGTCAGCCTATATCCTGAATGGCAAAGACAACTCACCTCGCCATCTACGGAAACACATTTTTGAGAACATCCTCCATTCTTCTCCGAGCATGGATCAATTTCTTTAAAAAAAAACATTTCAGTCATGAATTTCAATTTTTAATCAAACTTTCAACAGAACAACATTTAGTTTTATTGCTTCAGAATTCCATACTTTCGTTAAGTTAGAAGCAAAATTAATTATTAGTATACACAGTGAATAAACTATAGTGTAGAGATTGCTTCATTTATCTCAATGCACCAAAACTTGTGCGCAGTGAAAGTTTCAAATGAATATGCGTAAGTTCAGTAAAATCGAAATCTCACAAATCAAAATCAAGAAAATCGAGACACAGAAACTTGTTTGGTTGCAGGAGTAAAAACATGATTATTAGAAACAGCGTAGAGTTTCAATTTACAATCAAACAGGTTTAAATGCTCAGTGCACTTGCTTTTTCACAACTAATATTTGTCAGATTTTGATAGTGTTACTGTTAATTTCAGGATAAAAATTGTATCATCAAGAGATACAGAGTAAACTGCATTTTAAGTCTTGTGATCAATACCTCAAATAAATATACTAAATTTTGCAACAAATTATAATGCAGTACAAGTTTCATAAGATGCTTTTTCTCCATCAACTAATAATCTCAAGAATATAAAAAAACAACGATTTTTAAAGCTGATCACTTTAGTAGTGGTTACTGTACTGGACTACGGAGCCAATGGTTGTGAGTTCGAATCCCACTGTTGGCATGGATGTAACTCTCTCTCTCTCAGTTCTGTGTCCTTTCTTCTGTGTGATTGTGTGAAAGTAACTCGCCCTATAAACTGGTTTGTGGTTGTATGACATGGGCAATGCTACTCCAACGCCGTTAGCTCAGCCACAGGTTATGGTTACTGGGTAACGATAAGAGAGTAGCAATTCTGAGGTCATTGGAAAATCGACCAGTGTCCACCATTTAAAAAAAAGATATTTTCAATGGAGGAAGCTTAAAAGAACTTTAAACAACAAAAATTGAAATATTTCATTATACTACATTGTTAACTTTTATCCCAGGATCCAGTGGGGGGGGGGATCATAGGGGTCATGCCCCCCCCCCCAAATTGAAAAAATATATAATAATAATAATAATTTTTCAATAGTTTATAAAAGAAATAAAATATTTCAAAAATTATTTAAGTGGGCAAATATAATTAGGCAGGTCGGAAAAATCGATTTTTTTTCCATCTTCATCTAATTATGTTCTTCACTGTTTCAAGACTTGTAAGCAGGACTTTAAGTGCCCAACGATCTTTCCAAGATCATTAATGACTGTGACATCGATTCGTACGCATCAATCAATATGTTGTCGAATATTTTAATAAGTCTGCCAGTTAGTGTAGCAACAGCAGAATGTTTCTTTTCAACTCTTCGACCTCTCAAAACTAGGCTCAGAGCAATTCAAAATCAAGAACGATTAAATGGACTAGCATTATTAAACATTCATCGAGAAATTGATTTGGATGTTGAAAAAATCATTGACAGATTTGCCAAAGTTTCTAAAAAACGCATTACATTTATTATTTAAAGATTCTAAATACTTGAATTATTTATGAATTGTTCTATTGTTCATTATGAAAAAAATAAATGAGAAGACTAGCATTAAAAACCCCAGTTTTTTTTTCAAAAAAATAATTTGAAAATTTTTTTTATAAAAAAATTGATTGTGGGGAGGCGGAATCTGAGTCTATGACCCTCCCCAGGAAAAATTTCTGGATCCGCCCATGCCAGGATCCTTTTGTCATGCGACACGGTTGGAAATAAGGGAAAAAATCATATTTAAGTGTTCCATTCATAACAGTAATGACAACAAGGTGTCTATTTGTACCAAATTGATAATATTTTATAATTACTTCTTCTTTTGATCTTGTACTGATTTAAAGACAGAAACATTTTCTTTATCAGATGGTGCAGTTGGCATATAGAGTGACTTGAATAAAAATGAGTTACTCTATTATACCTAGACACTCCATTTTTACACCCAATGCCAAAGCTTTAATGGCCACCACAATAACCTAATAGTATGATGTAAGATTAGTAATAATCTTATTCGACTGAGAAACCCTCCTGCGTCCATGACGGAATCGTGGATGATCTTAAAAAATAGGGACAAACTGTAATGACACTAGTGGATCTTAAACTATCCATTATAACCGTCTAATAAGATAAAACTTAACTTCTCTGCCTGGTGTCTATTCATATTAAATTGAAAATACTGAACAAATTTAATCATTTTTTCTATTTAGCAACATTTTCGAGATAGAAACAGTTCTTTGTGAGGCGAAGCTTCAAGTTGAAATTTCAATTTTTTTTTATGTGTAAGAAACATTTGATTTACCATCAGCTTACTATCCCGATTTATCGAGGGCAAATGAGAAAAGTTAAATATTAGTCCTCGTATGATAGTTCTAAAACAAGGGACAACACAAAGTGACAGTCTTCAAACGCCAGTGTAGGAATACACCATTTTCTTTTATTACTCTTATTGCTGTGTAAATTCAGCAACCATCGTATGTACAATCGCACGTGTGCAGTCCAACATCAAAACTCTCAAATAAAACTTGGCAAACTTCCAATCACAGCAGATAATGTGTTTTTGCTTCCGACCAAGCCAAAAACAGGATAAAACAAAATATATTGACAGATTCTGCTAAGCCTGAGTTTTTTTGGGATGATAAATATTTGCAATATATGCATACCCGAGTTTACTCGGGAAAGTAAATATTTGCAAACCCGAGTTTACTCGGGAAAGTAAATATTTGCAATATATGCATACCCGAGTTTACTCGGGAAAGTAAATATTTGCAAACCCGAGTTTACTCGGGAAAGTAAATATTTGCAATATATGCATACCCGAGTTTACTCGGGAAAGTAAATATTTGCAAACCCGAGTTTACTCGGGAAAGTAAATATTTGCAATATATGCATACCCGAGTTTACTCGGGAAAGTAAATATTTGCAAACCCGAGTTTACTCGGGAAAGTAAATATTTGCAATATATGCATACCCGAGTTTACTCGGGAAAGTAAATATTTGCAAACCCGAGTTTACTCGGGAAAGTAAATATTTGCAATATATGCATACCCGAGTTTACTCGGGAAAGTAAATATTTGCAAACCCGAGTTTACTCGGGAAAGTAAATATTTGCAATATATGCATACCCGAGTTTACTCGGGAAAGTAAATATTTGCAAACCCGAGTTTACTCGGGAAAGTAAATATTTGCAATATATGCATACCCGAGTTTACTCGGGAAAGTAAATATTTGCAAACCCGAGTTTACTCGGGAAAGTAAATATTTGCAATATATGCATACCCGAGTTTACTCGGGAAAGTAAATATTTGCAAACCCGAGTTTACTCGGGAAAGTAAATATTTGCAATATATGCATACCCGAGTTTACTCGGGAAAGTAAATATTTGCAAACCCGAGTTTACTCGGGAAAGTAAATATTTGCAATATATGCATACCCGAGTTTACTCGGGAAAGTAAATATTTGCAAACCCGAGTTTACTCGGGAAAGTAAATATTTGCAATATATGCATACCCGAGTTTACTCGGGAAAGTAAATATTTGCAAACCCGAGTTTACTCGGGAAAGTAAATATTTGCAATATATGCATACCCGAGTTTACTCGGGAAAGTAAATATTTGCAAACCCGAGTTTACTCGGGAAAGTAAATATTTGCAATATATGCATACCCGAGTTTACTCGGGAAAGTAAATATTTGCAAACCCGAGTTTACTCGGGAAAGTAAATATTTGCAATATATGCATACCCGAGTTTACTCGGGAAAGTAAATATTTGCAAACCCGAGTTTACTCGGGAAAGTAAATATTTGCAATATATGCATACCCGAGTTTACTCGGGAAAGTAAATATTTGCAAACCCGAGTTTACTCGGGAAAGTAAATATTTGCAATATATGCATACCCGAGTTTACTCGGGAAAGTAAATATTTGCAAACCCGAGTTTNCCCTAAAAAAGTAACGAAAGTACAAGTAAAAGTACTAAATTAAAAAAGTAACGAAGTACAAGTAAAAGTACGTACGTTTTACTTGTACCAGCGGTACAAGTAACGAAAGTAAAAGTACTACCATATATGGTGGTCGGTGCAAGCCGGATGCAGAATTCGTATTGACTGGGATTCGCACCGGTTTGCTGCAATGGAAGGCGAACGCTCTATCCCCTGAGCCATCGCGGCTCCTGTAAATAGTCAGACTACTTTCAGTTGGTTTCCGAATTGCTTGCGTTTAAATTAAAAAGTAAAATTGCCCACTCTAAATGTTCTTTCCTTTTTCAGCGTACAGACGATGATTATGAAGTCTATCCTTTCAGAGATGGGGACGTTCTCATCGAAATCGTCAATCTAACAGAAACTTGGAAGGTATTGCTTTGTGACACGATTATCTTCTTTACTTTCTCATTTTAAAAGTTAAGGCGATGGATGTTTACTCACTCTCGCACTGTTTTCCATCCTCTTTAAGTGTGTGACCTTTCTCACATCTACAGATTGCATGGTTATTCTCAAACATGCATATATGGTGACATCCGCCATTGTCCGTGAGGCACGGGTTGATTCCTGTTGATAAAATAATTTGTGTAAGAGGCATTCATTTTAATCATGATTTAAGACAATGTTTTGCTTTGTTTTTAATTCTTTCTTTTAAAGTTATTTGAATTTTTTCAAATTACAGTAGAGAATCAATTATCCGGAAAGAAAGGGACCATCGCTATTTATTCTAGATAACTGATTTTTCCAGTTTTCTGAATTGCTACAAAAAGCTGATTTCTTTTTTAATTGTCAAACTCAACTAAAAATATATATATAATTAGAATAATTTTAAAAAACACTTTACTTCTTTTGACAGTATAGGGAACTAATGATTATTTCTAAAATTATGGTAAACATCTTTTAAAAAAGAAAGAAATCTGAAATATTTCAAGGAAAAAAAAAATTTTTTTTTTAAATGGCAGGAAAATGCATTGAATTTCATTCCGGTTTTCCGGTATTCTGATTTCCGGATAAGAGGTTCTGTACTGTATTAATTTGAGTAGAAAGTATTTTATACACGGGTGTTTGTGAGCCCAACTCAAAAATCCCGAAAATTTCTTAAGTAAAGTCATTATTGACGCATTTCAAAAAATTTATGTCTTTATAAATTTGAATCATTGATATTTTTACAACATTGAATTCTAAATAAATTATATGCAGCCCAATTTAAATTAATATTTACGCATAAATTTACGTTTATCTCTAATCACATTTATTATTTTAAAAGAAAAAATATTTACAAATGAAAGAGATGCCAAGTATAAATTCCAATTCTAATATTTCTAAATAAAATTGTATACAAGAATTTTTATACATATATGTGATTGATGATTTCTTGAAATTTCTAGACCTTGGACATCCAGAAATTTCCGGATCGCAGTTAGCGAAAAATCCGGATTTTTTTAGAGCACAATCAACTCTGTTTATGTTCTTAAAATTATGAACTTTTTAAAAGCTTGATTTGATTGCTATTGAAGTTAAAAGTTATTGAAAAAGGAATGTATGTAAATTATTATTTGATGTTCAAAATAGACAAAGAAATAAACAAAATAAATGCGAATAAAAGTGGCATAACTCTTTTAAATTATAACTTTTCATTAGCCGTATACAAAATAATTTGCTTTTTAATAAACATATTTTAATTATACTGATTTAGTTTCATATTTATTTAAATACAAGTATTTTTTTAATTAATTAAAGGTGTTGTTGTACACACAATAATGAACAAAGATTTGTTCTGCCAATAGTCATTTAGAATAATTGTTTTCCTGTTCTAAATTTATTCTTCATTTGATAAACTGACAAAATAATTAAGTCTTTTTCATTACAAATTCATGAGAATGTTGAGCTTAAATTAAAAGCGCTACGATTTAATTTATTAAGTTATTAATTTGGAATATTTGTTTAACCATTTTAGTTAAATATTATCATGAAAAAATATTTAGAATTTTTAATATATCGTATCAGTGCTTCTTTGATAAGTAAATGCAAAAATATCAAAAAAATCTTATTTAAATTTTTTAAAACATTTAATTCCATTTCTTACAACATTTAGTATCTTACAACATTTGTTAAAAGGACAAATACTTTTTATAAATAATATTTTTAAACAATTCATATAATAACATTTCAACAAAATGATTGGTTCAATAAACATTTTCAACACCTGTGGTCCATATTGATAATACACTAGAATCCATAATGGATCAGATCAATCTATGAAAATGGATTGCTTATTATTTGAAAGGTATCTATCAATTACTTTTGTAATTTATGTGTTTTTTATACTTTGTAAGTATGTTACTTCTGGAAAAATGATAAATGATCCAATATCAACATATTTTAAAGGCATATGTCTATTACTTTTGTAACAGACAGATGCCACTCTAAGTACGTATTTCAGACAAAAAGCTCCCTCCCCTCCAAAAAAATAAAAAATAAATAAAGTCTATTTATAAACAAATTCCTATTTTAATAAACAAATGCATTCCTATGACATAAACACAGATGCAGGATGGTAGAAAAAGTGTTCATAAACTGCAAATAAAAAATATGGGTCAAAATTTCTAAACTGAAATTAAGTACAATTAGAATGAAAAATTTTTGAATAATTTTGAAAAGTTTTTGATATAAAGTTTTTTTTATATTTCCTATGAGCTGCACAATCAGTCTTCCTGATGAGCAGACCTAGTGCGTTCTCCAGAAGTGGTATCCACTCTTTCAGGACCACCACAATGGGTGAGATACCGTTGGCCATGTTAATTTGGATGTCTAGTTTCTGCCACACTAGATGGCAGCGCCGAGACTCTATTTGGATGCTAAAGTGCACTAGGAATTTAATTTTGCCGGAAATGCAAAGAGCCAATAAGGCACTCCAAGGATCTTTAACATGCCGCAAAATAATACGACATGGCCGCTGAGGATTTTCTGCATCCCAAAAATCCGATGTCTGGGCTGGGGACCGAACTAGCAGACTTGGGCTCAGAAGGCCGACGACAAACTAACTGCGTCACCCAGCCACTTTCAATAAATAGTAATGCATATTAAAAAAATTTAAATCAAAACTACAAACAAATGCATGTTTTATAGATTCTAACTTTAACAAAAATAAAATAACTTGGTGCTCTGCAAGAGTAACACAATTTAAATAAAAATAATAAATGTGCATACTTTCTTTTTTATTTGATTACTCATTTAATCACTGACATGGATATGTTATTGGTAATAATCCATGAATTTGGCAACAATGTAGTGATTTTTTGCCAAATAGTGAACAGTTGTCAAGAAGTTAAATCCGCCTTCTATGCCATTTAACAAACGTTTCTAAAACTTTGTTATTACTTGCACTTCAACTAATATATATATAAACTGTATTCTTAATAAACAGCACTAACTTTACATTCTACAAAGCAAACAGAAACTGATAAATTCGCTGGTAGATTTTTAAATTTTCTTCTGTAAATATTAAATACTTAAATGCATAGTTTTGTGCTTTAAACTATTTTATTTATATTTAAAAATGATTTTAAATATATATAAATGATTTTATATTGATCTCTTCCAGACATATTGCTATGCTTAGTAGCTTTGTTAAATGATAAGTGAAATGATATAGCATAAATTTCTATGTAACGTGAAGTCCTACGTTTGAAGGTTTGCATTTTAAAGGTCTTATACTGCTTAAGAGACTTTTTTGATCAGGATCGATGTTGGAAATGAAAAAGTTGTCACCAAAAAGAAGAAAAAAATTGAAATAGTACAGAATTACCATCAATAGTTGAAGCGCAGCTCTTGTCATTATGATATTCCCTTTATTCATAAAAGTTTGCATCAGATGCTAAAACTTCTACATCAAAGATTCATAAAATAATCTGAATTCTAAAATGTAACCAGTTTTATAAGTGTTTATCTGAAACCAACAAAAAAGGAAAAATAGGAACTGTAGCCAAAACAGATGAAGATAAAAGTGTTTCCTGTAGTACTTACTATCACACGACACGAGGTCTTTGTTTAAAGAGAATCCTTCAAAACAAGAACAGAGCACATCCGTTTCATCTCTTGGCGAACACAGATGCTGACAACCCCCATTCTTCACTGAGCAAGGGTTAATCCCTGGAGGAAAAAATGAAATCTAGTTGATGTATCATATTCTTTATATCGCAAGACTTTAATAAGGAAATTTAACCTCTAACGAGTTAAAATCAAGAAAAAAAAGGTTGAAGTTGATAGACACATTTTGTTATTTTATCCTATGTATTTTATTAATATTATTGCTTATATAACGGATGTCAAAAATGACAAATTTCTAGGGGAGGTAGGGCACATAAGGATTTTCTTTTATTTTATTTCAAAGCTGTCGTTGAACAGCCCAATCAATTGCGTGTTTACGACTACTAATGCTCATCTCCAAAGCCTTGTACTTTTGAACCCAATCCAGAAGACAAGGGAACTCCTGGATCAAGTATTGGGAGAAATTTGCCAATGTGCAGGACTTTTTGATAGAGCTAACCCAAGTTTGCGTTACATAAAGTGGAAAACCACGAAAACCTCTTATGATGATAGCAAGGAAACTAGAATGTCATGGTTCGCCACTGGGGTCCACTTTATTACGAACTGTATCTTTATGCGCCTTTGAACAGGCACTTTTATTTATCTAAGATATCTAAATTTCACACTACTTTAACATTTTCTAATAATTATTGCCAAAAACTACATTCAAATAGACTCAGCAACAGCTGTCTTATTGGTTATTGTCAATGGTTAATAATCGATTTGGAAGCAATTTTCGACGATGAATTATTAAAAAACATGAAACTAAGATAACTTAGATAAACAAAAGTACCAAGGAACATAAAAGAAACGGTTCATAATAATAAAGTGCCCTAAGTAGAGTACCATGACATTTCCAGTCATGGGATACCATGCAATTTTTGATTTTTATGATATGACCTAACTCCCCTCTAAGCTTGTCGCAACATTTATGGGACATCCTGTATTTAGTTTTGCAAATGCTTTTAAAATTTAAATTGTTTAATCGCCGATAGAAATTTGGATTACCTTTTCATAATATGCTTATCTATTATTATAATATTCATTATTATAATATTCCAGCCGTGGTGGCTCAGGAGATAGAGCGCTTGCCTCCTAATGAGATGAACCGGGTTCGATCCCTGAGACAACTGGTCAATTCAAATTCCGCACCGACCGCGTAAAATATCATCAGTAGTAGACAGATCATGAGTTAGAGCCCCCTTGCCGCCCCAGGCTCAATGTAGGAGGTTCGGATGGTTTTCCCTCATATGTAACGCAAATGTTGGTTAGTTCCATCAAAAAGTCCTCCACGAAGCAAATTTCTCCTAATACTTGACAGGAGTTCCCCTGTATTCTGGTTTAAGTTCAGAATTACTAGGCTACGGAGTCAAATATTAGTAGCCATAAGCCATAAATTGGGTCGATTGCTCGGTGATGGTAATAAATATATTATAATATTCATTATTACCATGGTGAGCAACTTTAGGTAGTTATACATACATTAGTCCTCAAATTAGAACAGCAGGTTGATAAGCTCGTACCTAATAATTAGGGCTGCAAGTTTGTCGCGGGAAAAAAAGACCCGAAATTGCAGGAAAATTTGAAATTTACGCAGATACTAAACATAAGAAAATTCACTATATATATTATGCAAAAGACAGAAATTGCGCAAATAATAAAAAAAAGCTTAAAAAATACACAAAAGTATTGTTTTTTAATTTCAAGCCATATTAATATTTTTATTTAAGTGAACAGAATTTTGCTACAAAGTATTGTACATTGTCACATTATTCTCATTTATGCTTCGTCTTTCATCACTTAATACATTTTTATGCTTAGATCTTTCTGCTTCCTCGCTGTTTGTAGGCACCGATAAACATCGAATTATGGATACCGTTCGGTCTTTGATTTCCAAAACTCGATCCATTTTCTTTCATCAACGAGCAATTCCTTTACCATTGCTTTGTAAGAAGTAATTGCTGCGAAAACTCAGACATTCTACATTCAAACTACTAGTTACTAAAGCCTTATGTCCCTCTCATTTAAGAAACCTATCGCTATTTACGAAATCACAAGAAGCCGCCCAGGAAATATTGCCTGGATATATAGAAAGGCAGTAGAAATTTCATTGCCCAGTGCAATAGCCTGGGTTACCACTTTTCTGTCAAAGATTTGATTTATATCATTTTCCTTCTTTAGTGATTCCAGTTTCCTTTGTACTCTTACTGACTTCAGGAAGGTAATCCTACCAGTCTCTTACCCTCCCTAAGTGTAGAAAGACCACCTTACCTGACAATATTGTGAATATCTCTTATCTCTGAACTATTTTCCTGTCATTTTGCTATTGATTCACTCCCCTAAATATCTAATCAGTTTTACATGTTCAATTTAAGGCTTTAGAAAAGTAAAAAATTCTGTTAAATAAAAAAATTTAATTAAAAATGAAAAAAAAAATTCAAATTTTAAGCAATTTTTGCGCAAATCGAAACATATTGAGAAATTTGCGAATTTTAAGAAAAAAAGAGGATAATTTCGCGGAATTCGTGGCGAAAATTCGCGCCGTGACAGACCTGCAGCCCTACTAATAATCACTTAGAATAGGAATAATATCATGACTCACATTCGCAAGATTTTCCATCTTCCTGAAGAGTGAAACCATGGCGACAAGAACAATAAGCGTCATCATTATCATTTAAATGACACTCTTGGTGACATCCTCCATTATCAATGTGACAGGGGTTGACTCCTTATAGAAGTGAAATAAATCATAAGTATTTCATCAACTAATGTGTTAATATTGCTGGTATATGTAACAAAACTTTTAAAATAAAGAATATTTTTTTCAGCTGAGGCAAAGGGGGAAAAAAAGTACATGTGGTGACAATCTGGGTAAAGTATAGTGGGATAATTGACAAATTTAGAACTAAAGCTTTTAACAACTATGGCCTATCCCAAATTCACCAACACATACAAATAAGGTAAGATAAAAATATGTCTAGGAATAATCAGGGTTCGTTGATATATATCAAAGGATATATATCATGATATATATCCGATATTTATTTTGAAATAAATATCATGATATTTTCAGCAAAATTTCTAAAATATCATGCTATTTCTAAAATAGCATGTGGAAAAAAAGACGTGATGAAAAAGTTCTCAGAAAGAGAAGTAATGGCTTTAACCCCTGCTCATTTAGCTGCTAATATGCTGGACCACAGATATTGTGGAGAAAAAAAACTAAATGATGAGCAAACGCAAAGAGCTTTTAATTTCCTACGCTCTGTTGGCAAAGATATTTTACCCATGGCTATGAATTTTTTGGCCAAAAAGAGCCCTTTTCCAGGCTTCAACTTCGAAGATGACTTTCTCAATGTGGAACCCACAGTTTGGTGGGAAACTATCAAGTTAGAGGAACCATTAAAAGTCAGAATAACAAATCTTCTTGAACAACTACTAACTGCCTCTTCTTCCACAGCTGGGTTAGAGAGAATATTCTCTAGCTTTGGATTTATTCAGTCCAAGTTGCGGAATAGATTAGGGACTGAAAAGGCAGAAAAATTTACTTTTATGTTCAAATACTTTTATGTTCAAATACTTTAACAAGAAATAAAGAAAAAATGTGTTTTAAAACTTAGTTAAAGTAAAATAAAAATGTCTTGTATTTTGATGATTGCAAAAGATTTTGTTTCAGAGAACCTTTTTTATTAAAAAAAAATTTTCTAATGTTTTATTTTACAAAAATTACAAATTTATTAATTACAATTAACATTAGGAATTTAGAATTTATATAAAACGAAATATTTTATGTTTTAAATTTGTATATAATGTCTGAAAAACAATTCCTGACAAAAAAGTTAATTTATATTGAAGATACTAAATATAAAACAAAAATTTGAATATATATCAAAATATCGGATATATATCAAATTATCGGATATTTTCGTTATTTTCGAAAATATCATGATATTTACGATCCCTGGGAATAATGATCACAAGGGAGAAAGTTTACTTAAGCAATTTTAAGGATGATTACAACTTAATTATCAAGATTTACTCATTAAAATAAATCAGACCATGTGGCATAATAAAATAAGCTAATTAAAAATTTACACAAAACTAAATCAACATGTGACAAACAGATTTTAGAGTTACCACTCAAGGAAAAGGAATTGCTCTGCTAGAGTCAATTGAATTTAAAGACACTTAACTTGAAGTTGTTGTTTTTTTGAACTCAGAACCATTTGTTGAAATCAGGTTGTTATGGATATCAATTGTTGCAGCAATAGTTTCAAGGTTGATGCATATTTTTCTCCAGAATTTCTATCAAAAACATCTTTTTCCAATCACCTTCCACCTCAGCCCTCTCTTCCTCACCTGCCCCTCTTTTCAGGTTTCTTCTCCTTACCCAAAAATTGGCAGACCAAAACTGCTTAGTTTATTCATAGAGAGGCTATCTCAAACAATCAAACAGTTTGGGCAGAAATAGGCTGACTGATACTCATAAAAGGAAAGAGAGTTGTAGCAACACTACAAAAGGGAGTTACAGTGACTTCCTCTTAAAATCACATTTATTATAAATATCATAAGCAAACATGATTTCACAGCTTTTCGGCTTTAAAGGATTACAAGTTTACTGTAAGTCAAATTATTAATTTACATCTGTAAATTATCTCTGACATAATCGGTATTCGATATATAAAACAGCTATAGGGCTCAAAAATTTATTCAGACAGAGCTGAACATATGAATAAGGCTTTTAATATATTGACAAAAATGATAGTAAAATCATTATAGCAACATCAACTTTTTTTTAGTATAAATCAGATGCATTCGGCATCATTAAGAAAGAAGTTAGACAGGGTGCATAGCCAGATTTTTCAACAAAAAATAAGCATCTTTTTAAGCACTTTCCAAAAACAAAAAAAATCATAATTAGGATTTGTGCAGTAATAAAAATTATTTTTCTTCTGTCGTTTAAAGTTCTTAATTTACAAACATAAAATCAATAAAATTTAGAAACATTTTCAAAAATCAACACAATCATGATAAAATAACTAGTTTTTGATAAATATTGTAGAGAAAATTGTGAAAATCATGCATTTTTCGTAATTTAGAACAACAATCGATACAGCAAAGAAAAAATCTCGTTCTTAAAGATAGAAAATTAAGCACTTTTAACAAACACCGAATAAAAAAAAGCATTTTCAAGGGCTTTTAAAAAATTTAAATCAAAAATAAGGACCTTTAAGCACTTTTTAAAAATGCTACGCACCTTGTCAGATATTATAAGCATAGAAATATTAACCAAAAATGCATGACTATTATTATGTAATATATTACCCTTACTTTTCAAAGTACAGCTACTGAAACTTTTTATAAATTTGTAACAAAATCTATTATTTAACATATTGAATTGATGAAGATATATCATGGAACAAAATACTAAATAAAACAATATTACAAATAAGAATTAGTGAATGACTCTTTCATTAGCCACTTCATATATTTAAATTTAAATTTTTAATTATTTTAGATTCTCTAAACAATGCCAATCTGAAAATTAAATAATCTGCTGAAATTAAAATTGGGTTTAATATTTCTTCAGTATTAAACCCAATTAAAGTTTTAATGAAAGAAGTGTTTCCATAACTTCAAACATTAATTTAAAAAACTAACTTCATTCAAATGATTCAATGACTCACTTGATTCAATGATAAATCAAATGATTTTTTTTAAAGAGAAATCCTCATTTCATCCATTTAAAAGAAACCATTTTAATATCTGACTATCAAAATATTTATTGGTAACTAGGAAATAGTTTTAAGATTTATTCAAAATATATTGCTGTGTTAATAAGTTTCAATTAGCAAACTTGCATTACTACTTCTAGCACTTTTCAATCAATATTTTAAAATTTTGATAGTTTATTTGGATTTTTTTTAATTCAATTCATTACATAATTTCATTAATTTAATTTCGGAATGAAAATAAGGTAAAAATACAATGCAGTTCATTTCAATAAATCTTTATTTAGTACTAACTACTTTTTATATAAAAAGTAGTTATTGAATATAGAATTTATTTTCTCACAATGAATATGATGGTAATGAAAATTTTAATTATTAGCTCTAAAATACAATCCTCAAAAAAATGTATTTTAATATTGCAAATATATTACTCAAACAATACATATGAATACAAAAAATAATAAATTCAACATGCCTAATTTATACACCTTTAAAATTGTCAATTAAGGCTTATTTTTAAATCAAATGCAAAAGATCAAGAGAATTATCGCTTAATATCTAAAAATGAAAACTATCATTTTTAATTAANATAACAGTGAAGTAGAAATATATAGTAACTCCTTAACATACAAAAATTGCTATTTTAGTTTGAAAAATTACATGACAATCAGCAACTGTTTAGATAATTGTTTTTTATTTGATAAGAATTTTGCATTTTATAGCATAAATAACAGCAATTATAAATAAAATTTTGATAATGAGTTAATTAACTCTTTCTCCAAAAAAAATTTAAATCCTTTTTTAAGTGATTGCTTTTGTTTGCTATATTTAGTCATTAGTCCATCTTCAAACATCTTGTGACAAATCCTATTTTTTCTTCTTTGCAAGCACAGAATGTAAGTTTTGAATATATTCCCTTCCAGTTTCTCTAATGTTGCAACACTTACATATACTAATAATCGTCGTTAGAAAAACAGTCACCTTTATAGTAACTAATTTTAAAAAAATTTACTTCTTACAAGAATCGTGATAGTTGATATTAAAACTGTGTGAATATGAATAACAATTATGGATTTTGAAATCACATGAATATGAAACTAGATATACGATTTTGAAAATGAGAAAATACAAACTGGGATATAGAATTTTTAAAACGCGTAAATAAATACAAATCACGATTCATAATTTTTAGATCGCGTAAATACAAATCATGATGCGTAATTTTTGGATTGCATAAATAAGAATTATGACGCATAATTTTTAGAATACGTGAATATGAATTCCAATGCCTTATTTTTAAATCACGTATAAATATGAAAATCAATGTTTGATATTATAAACTGCATGAGCAAATCAAGGCATTGAATTTTAAACTTGAGTGAATACGAATCGCTACATAGGTTTTTAAAAAGGCGTAAATATGAATCACAATATCTGATTTTTAAATCTCGTAAATAAGAATCGCAACATACAATATTAAAATCGCGTGAATAAGAATCGCAACACGCAAGTATGAAAAGCTATGTTTGATATTAAAATCGCGTGAATAAGAATCGAGATATGTTAGCAGATTCCAAGCTTGGGACCTCTAAAAGGCTTGTCAGAAGCAGCGTCTTTTGAACTACTAAAATCGGATCTATCTTATCTGCTGCGAGTAAAAGGGGAGAAAATAGCTAAAATAAGTAAAAATGAGAAAGGATTGGTAGCTATGCAGTTTGAATTTTCTGTTTCTCTTTGAAAATCGTTGATTTTTCTGAAAAAGTGGAATACTTATAAAAAAAAAGTGAATTTTTTTAGAAAAATCTGAAATTTTGATAAAAAAGCTGAAATTCCAAGAGATAAAAGTGAAAAAAGCGGAAATCCGCTAAAAAGCGGAAAAATCTCATCCCTGATAAAAAGCAGTTATTGAATATAGAATTTATTTTCTCACAATAAGTATGATGGTAATGGAAATTTTAATTATTAGCTCTAAAATACAATCCTCAAAACCATGTATTTTAATATTGCAAATATATTACTCAAAAAATAATAAATTCAACATGCCAAATTTATACACCTTTAAAATTGTCAATTAAGGCTTATTTTTAAATCAAATGCAAAAGATCAAGAGCAATTATCGCTTAATATTTTTAGAGGATTTAATATCTAAAAATGAAAACTATCATTTTTAATTAAATTATCAAAGCAAAGGTGCTTAAAATTAAAAACCTTAAGACTTTTTTTTTATTATTATTATTTTTTTATGAAACAGAAATCACCCCTGTATAAACTAAATCGTTATGTTTATACTTATCCTTTCACGAAAGCTTACTTTTGCAGATTTTATCATCTTCATTCAAAGCAAAACCAACCGGGCAATCACAATGGACCTCATCAGACTCGAACAAGCATAGGTGTGAACAACCCCCGTTGTCAACCAAACAGGGATTCACTTCTGAAACAAAGCTATAAACATGTAGACTTATTTTGTTTAAAAAACAAAACAAAAAACTGATAGATGTCTCAGAAATTTATTTACTTTTGCATGTTTTCCCATCGATCATGAGTTCCTGTCCAGCCGGACACTCGCAGATAATTTCCCCCTCAGAGAATGAGCACTCATGTGAACATCCCCCATTTGATGTGGAGCAAGGATCAATTTCTAGAAAATTTTAATAAAATAGATTAATTAATTACAGTAAAATACTGAACAAGCCCCGGATTTGATTAAGCTCAAACCCATAGTCTCGTATGAAAATTGACCAGTGATCAAAACTGAACAAGCCTCTATCCACTTACAAAAATCATTAATTTTGTTTATTATGCACTGTTTTCCAGAAATGTGATGCCTCTTTAACAATGCCACATTCTAGAAAATTTTTTGGTTTACAAAATTTTGCTAGACTATCTCTACTGCACTATATGCTTTTATTCCTTTTTCTTAAGGAAAAAAAAAATAGCAAAATTAACCAAAATTAAATCTGAAAATACAAATAATTTTATCTGCATACACTTATTAACTGTACTTACAATTTTTTCAAACAGAATATGCAGTAAGCTAAGAAATTTTTTTTACAGGTACACATGATTTTACAATTGTTTTTATTAATTTAAGATAATAAGTATAGGATATCAAGAATCCTTTTTTTTAAAAAAAAATACTATGATTGAAACTAGATAAATTCTAAAACTTTGAATAAAATCAAAATAAATAGTATAAATAAAGTTATTGTTTTAAAAAAATTTCCTTCCAATACTAAGTTATATTTTATTTTGTTAAATTTAAATTAATCTTATTGTACAATTTCTTCTAGCTTCTTAGACAAAATAGTTTCTTCTGAAAGAAACTTCAACCCAGAGGACCTATTATTAAAATCTCCTTCATTATAAAAAGAAATTGATTTAACAATAATAGAAATGCCACTCTTATTCTTCAAATAAGTCACCGTAGGGCAATAAAATTCAAAACAATGCTCAATTTTGATACACAAGCTTTATAAACAGTTTTCACTTTTTTTTAAGCATTTTAAAAGTAAAATGAATACATATTAATCTGTATCATTACTTTATTCTATTATTATTGAAATTACAATACTTTCAAAAATTCTTTTAATTCTAACCTTCTATAACACTTTTCTTTTAAAATTTCAGTAAATATGAGCAATCCCACCATATATGACTGTCATATTGGCACACTTTAAAAGCATATAACTTAGTAAAAATAATCAGGTAGTTCTAAAAAAAAATTTGAAAATTACTTTTTGTCATATTTACACTTATTCCAATTTTTCAAAAATTTAAAACTAGTTGTTATGGATGTATTGTATTATATCATGTTTTCAATTCTTAAACTTTTTAAATAAATGGTGAAAAGTTGGAGTAAGTGTAAATGACACCAAGATTAATTTTAACATAAATTATTGGAACAGCTAAATTTTTTTAAAACCAAGTTATAAGTTTTTTAAATTTGATAATATGACATTTCTAAACAGTGGAAATACTAATAACACTAATGTACTAATATACTAAATTAATACTTTCATTTTTTAAAATAAAATGCTTTTCTAAGAGTTTTGTCAGAGACTAACCTATTGAAATTTTATTTGAAACGACCCATAGAGGACACGCAAAAAATCTCACAACCTTAAAAAAAAAAACGCATACACATATTTAATGCAAAATACACAGAAAACAAGAAAAAACATTAAAATAAATGAAAGACTACTGAAGATATTAAAATCAATTAATAAAAAAATAAATAAGATTGATTTTAAAAAAAGCTACAGTGCATTTCAAAATAAAATATGTAAGTAAATATTTATTGCGGCAAAATGACAAATTGTGTCACTTAGATGTCATCCTAGTCAGGGTTGCCACAATAATCTGGAGAAAAAAATTCCCTGTAGATATTATACACAATATATAAGAGGAAACACTTTGCGCTTTTGTGTCAACTATATTGTACTAACTATACTAAATTTAATTAGCAGAGAAACTTAAGAGAAAAAAGGCACAGCTGAACATATTTAAAACAAATAATGCTACAGTAAATGAAATAGTTTAGTATAGCTGAAATATCATCTTTAAATATGCCCTTTGAGTGGTCACCATTTTTTAAAAGACGAAAATAAGAAACAAAATTCCCCATTATTTTAGGTGATTTTTAAATTCCCTGTATTTCCCTGTGGAGTGGCAACCCTGTTAGTTTATCCGGAATTAAACTAACTTACTTTTACAATTTTTTCCATCCTCCTCTAAGGCAAAACCATCTGGGCAATGACAATGGACCTCCTCAGCTTTGAATAGGCAGGTATGAGAACAACCCCCATTGTTAACCAGGCAGGGGTCCACGTCTGAAAAAAAGAGGATCACGCTATGTATTTATTAGTTACACAGAAACTGTTGAAATTAATTTAAAGAAATATATGCATGTACTTGTGCACGTTCTCTTGTCTTTCTTCAGTTCATATCCAGTGGGACACATGCAGGTGACTTTACCTCCATCAAATGTGCACTGATGAGAACACCCTCCGTTCGATTTGGAGCAAAGATTGATTTCTGAAATAATTTCAGCGAGAAAAAAATTATTTCTCTGTCTATACACAAAGGGTTCCATTAAAATTTAGACAAAAAAATTTCTATTTCAGACTCTCTACACAGTGAATTTCTCTCCATAACAAAGATTTTAATCTGAATGCTAAACTCAACAAGCTTTCTCCAATCATTCCAAACAATTAACCTTTAATGTTTACCTCCACACAATCCATCTTTAGCTAATTCTTCTGATTTTTCTTCTAGCTTTTACATTCGCCTCTACAAAATCCATCCATTGCATTATAACTGTTGTTGAACAGCTACCTCAATTTTTTTGGGTATACCACTACAAATGTTTAACACCGTAGCCTTGTAATTTTGAACTCATCCAAAAGACAAGGGAACTCCTGAATAAAGCATTTTATATTTTATTTTATATAATAGTCATTGAACAGCTGACCCAATTTTGGATTAACGACTACTCATGTTCAACTCCGTAACCTTGTAATTTTGAACCTCTCCAGAAGACAAGGAAACTCCTAGATTAGTACCCCCAGAGGTATGATTTGTTATGGGAACATGGAGGACTTTGTTACTTGAAAGATTTAACGTGCATCAGTCACCATTTACTACACGGGGAGTCTTCATCCGGCAGGGATCGGACTCCACGACCTCTTGGACATGGGCCCAGTACCCTACCAACCAGGCTATTCTTGCCTTGGATAAAGTATCGGGAGAAATTAACCTTGGTGGAAGACTTTTTGATGGAATGAACCCATATTTGTGTTACACTGAGAGCCTGACAGCAAGGGGACTATAATTCATGATCTGTCTACCACTGATGATATTTTTACCTCAGCACTGTGGTTGATGTAATTCCTTCCTATTTAACTCATACCCTTGCAAAGATGACCAATTTAACAGGGTTTCAGTAGCCACGTCGAAAAATAAGTCCAAGTCATCCGATATAATAAGATTTGGTGACTCTGGCAATATTAGATTTTATTTATAGACACCAAGATCGGACTAAGTTTTCTATCATTTTCTTTAATTTGGCCAAATATTTGACGAAGAATTTTTCTTTCAAAGATTAAACATCTGCATTCATTTTTATTAATGACCAGCATTCACTACCATTCAATATGATAAGAATAAAAAAAGTTACATAAATATTTGGTATGAAATTAAAAGTTTAGATTTTAATAAAGAACGTTAAATAATATTCAAAATATACTCCATGTAACAATATGTCAGATTCTCGCAAACACACATTCAGAGCTGTGTAAAGATTCAAAATCTCACTGATAATTAGCAGGAGAATTCAGTTTTTTTTCTTCTTTTTTTTTGCAGCCACATACACTCAAGTTAGTAAATGAGTAATATATCCCTGATACTTTATATGTGTCTGATTATTTTCTGTATAACCTGAAGGTCAAAAAAATAAATCTATTTTTTCCATCTTTTACACAGAACAGAAACCAAATTTTTAAAAAAAGAAGAAAAAAAATTGGAAACGTTTTAATTAGTAGGCTCATTGTTAATATTTTTAACGAATGTCGAGAGTTCTTTCTTTGCCTTCAACTCCCATGCTGATATGTGTGTCAGACAATTTTTTTATTCGGTATTCTACAAAATTTGACAGTCATCAAAATTATTAGTAGTAGTAGTGGTATTATTAATTATTATTATCAATTGTATTATTATTGATCATTAGTATTATTAATCATTCGATTAGTGAAAAATTATGACTTCATCTAAGTTGCATATTTATTTATTTCTCACTTTTATTATTTATTTATCTCATGTTTTAGAATACATAAATGTTTAGAATGCTAGAATAAAAGGAAAGCAACAGCTCATTGTGGTCAAGAGGTAAATCAGAAAGAGTCAAATATATTAGGGTGTGTGGCCAAATCTTTCAACAAGAAATAAGCACCTTCCAAGTGATTTTTAAACAATCAAAAAATATTTTTAAGCACTCTATACATCAATAAAATGTAAAATAATTTTCAAAGACTTTACATGATCATGATAAAATAACTAGTTTCTGACAAAGAACTCTTTTCTTGGTTACAATTGTCATCATAAAATGATCAAGAGATTTTTCGATTCGATATCAGAGGGTGGAAAATGAAGCCTGATCTGAAATGAGAATATCTTGCAAAATGCAGCAGAGTTGCACATGAGAATGCAATAATCTGACCGAACTCAGCTCAGCAGACTCACAAGTATTTCATCAAACATGTAAAATTATTGGCAATTTCAGATGCTAAGGACCGACGGTAGGCCAGATCTGGTTCAATGAATTGTGAAAACGTGGATTAGAACAATGAGAAAATCAAGTTTTGCATAATACATGGCAAAAATTGACATGATAAAGTAAATATACCTCATATTAGAAATGCACTTTTTAAAAACACCCAATGAAAAAAGCACTTTTAAATGCTTTCAAAAAACGCTTTCAAAAAACTGAGCAAATGCCCTCAGTTCCATCCATTGCTTATTTATATTTATCAGGGGTGATTGTGAGCAAAGNTGTTTTTAAGTTCCACCATTGAAAATTTGATTTCTGGAAACTTCAATTGATTTTTTTCAATGATTAACGTCAATGATTAGCGTTGATTAACGTCAATGATTTTTTTAAACGTCTGGACCTTCGATTTCCGGATCACCGTTACCGAAAAATCCGGAAATACAGATTTTTTCCGGAGCAAAATCACATGAAATTTTACTTTTACATTTTTGGAAATGCATTTGATTCAGTGGACGTTCATTCAAATATCAAATTGATAAAACTCTTCTTTAATTATCAATTAAATTAAGATAAACTCACTCTGACAGATCTTCCTCTCTTTATTCAGGGCATGTCCTTTTGGGCAAACACAGCGTACCATGCCTTTTTCGTAGCGGCATTCGTGAGAACAGCCTCCATTTTCAATGGAGCAAGGATTGATACCTGAATTTTAAAAAAGTGCATTAACTATAAGTAGGAAAAAAAAAGTCTTTAAATTGGTACAAAATAAGTGTTGAAAAATGTAAGGTCTCCATTTAATAAATAACTTCTTTTTGGACATTAATTATTGCTTCTTATATTTATAAAAAAAATTAGGAATTTATTTAGAGAAAAAAAAGTCTTTTTATAAATAAATAAATAAAGAATGCAATGCTCAAAATATTGTTATAGTGCAGTTTTGATGAGAACTCCTTCAGACTGAAAGTCTGGGGCTGTCTGCTGCTATGGTAACAAGCAAAAGCACATTTCTAATGGGGGTGAAATGGAGGAAAGAAGGTGTCGATTGGTTTACTCACTACGCTAAGATTAAGACAAAACTATTCATTTTACACCCCAATTTGAAGCCACCTTTCCTCGTAACTATAGTTCCTGCCACAACACGAGACATGTGTCTGGAGTTCTCCTGAAAGCCCACTATACAAAAGTTTTAAATCAAGGGTTTGTCCTCTTTAACGATTTCCAAAGTAAACAGAGAATGCTTTACTTTTCTCATACAAAATTTTGTACTGGTGGCAATGTTCAAATCCATAATCCTGTAATTGTGAACTGTTTGTATAAAGGAACAGCAATTACTAATTTTAATTTAGTTCTGCTCCTAAAGAGACAGATTTTTTGCAAAAAAACATTTATAGCCTATTTTTTAAATGTACAAGTTTGAAAAACTTAAATGTAATAAGGGGTTGTGCAAATATTGCGACACTCTTCTAAGGGAGTTAGGGCACATAATCATGATTAAAATTGCATGGAACTTAATGCTCAGAAATGTCGTTGTCGTACTCAGCTAGGGAGCTTCTTTAGTATAACCTGTTCTCTATTAGTGTATGTGGCGGTATTTCCAGGCCTGGGTTCTTATGCAACTTTAATCCTCATAATGTGCTCCCCTTGAAGTTTAACACAACATTTACGACACCCCTTATCAAGTATAATATTTTAAAACTGGTACATTTCGAGAGAAAATAAAACTAAAAATTACATTTTTAAAGAAATATTGCAGCTTGGAGATAGAAATTAAGAGCAGATTTAAAATTAGCAATACAAAAGTATCTAAGATCTATTAAAAAATTTCGTACAAGAGAAAGCAAAAAATAATTTAATCCCTCAATAGTAATCAATTAATATTTTTATTGAGTTCCTTTAGCATTTATACTGGAACTCCCTTTGCCTTTGTGATTATTTTCTGCGTACTTTGAATCTGCAAAAGCATTTGGTAAAGTTTGATGAAATTTATGCAATTCTTAAACATTAAAAATTTCAAAACCTACCTATCTACTGTTTCAGAATGAGAATTATGTATTATAATTAGACCTTAATCAAATCCCTGAGGCAGAATTTTTTCGAGCTATCTGCGACGAAACTCTCTAGCAGTCATATCTTTTCGTAAGATACTTTTATTAATAACAAACATATATATTACTAATTCAAAATAACAACAGCGCCGTTAACAAAAAAAAACTATATATAATTTTTTTTAAAATTAAACATGAAATAATTTTTTATTCTAATATTATGCTTGGTATTCTCGCATTATGCTGGGGGGGGACGCATTAATTATTTCTTCTTCGCATGATCACAATAAAAAAAATAATTAAAAATTATGAAATCCGTAGTAGTAATTGCCGAAAAAATGATCAACGACGAAATCACGCGAATGGGACTCCTCAAAAAGGGATTACTTGTTTTGTTTCGAGATTTGAGTTATTTCAATAAATAATATTCAACAAAAAACATCAGATTTAAAATCTATTTAGAAATCAAGAGCAATAATAGCCAAAAAGTCGATAGAATCATGGTCTTAAAATGTAAATACACCATTCGAATTTCCCATTTTGTTTGAAATACATTGGGATACTTGAAAACCAAGATTAATAATTGCCAAAAATACAATCAAAACATTATATCGACTTACGATACTATCGGGGTAAGTTGAGAGAGCAAAAAAGTGATTATCTTAATGTATGAATCAAATTTTGTGAGTAAATTTCTGTAGAAAAGAAAACTTTCTGTAAGAACTCTGTAACGTTCTGCGACAATATCGCCATGATTATGCCATGGGGAATCAAATCATTATAAATAATAGCTATATTATTTATTTGGCCATAATAAATCCATACCCTCAAACCTGAATACACACTAAAAAATGTAAAAAACAGATATTATTAAATGAATGCGTCATATATGTCAGCATGCCAACAGAAAGGAACATATTTTACTCTGTAACTTTGATCTGTTAAAAGTATCTGAACACCTGGTTGTTATGGTTGGGGAAGCATAAAGGTGTGGGGGGAGGGGGTGCTTCTCGTGGTTTGGCCTGTGTTCGTTAGTTCCTGTGGTTGGAAACATGAACTTGGAGATGTATGTGGACAATACTGCACTCCCAGCTCCATGGCAATATTTCGGTCCATTTCTCTTCCAGCAGTTTCCATTCACACATCAATGCTTGCACAGACTTGGTTTGACGTAATGGGTGTTCAAAAACCGGACTGGTCTTCACAGATCTAAATCCCACAGAACACTTTTAGGAAGAATTAGAGCTCAGATTACGTAGCCATCCTCACTCTGCAAGAACAGTCACTTCAGCTGTGATGGAAATCAATTCCTATTCAAAAAGTGGTGAAAAGTCTTCTTGTACAGGCTGTCATCGATGCAGGGGACCGACATCATATTAATATGCGCCTCCGGACACTCTAAGTCCATACTACTGGGAGTCCGGATACTTTTGGCCGGTCAAGAGTTGAACGAAGTTAAGAGTTTTTTAACCCTACCAAATCATAAATATTTGATAAATTTCCAACTTTTCATAAATTTTAATATTCATTAAGAATAGCATAAAAAATTGAAGTTAAAACATTGAATTCGTCGGATCTTTCAAAAGTAGTTAAGTAATAACTAAATTTCAAAAATAGTTTGTAATCACTATATTAAAAAATAGTTAAATACATGTGTAGTAAAGTAGTTGCAGTTAAGTACAAAAAATTGCAGTCTTCCCAATCACTAAACTAAACTAAGGAATTTTCATATAATTTTTCATAGGTTAACACAGGAGATGGAGAAAATAGAAGGTCAGCCTCTGTATCAAGAACTTTTTTGATTAGAGAAAATTCGAGTGTCAATATTTTTTAAGATCCTCAATCACATAACAGTAAAATTTTAATAATGTCATCAATCAAAATTGTAACAGTTTATTTTCAAGAGTAAATATTTGATTTACTTTTCTTCCTGTTCAAAACAATCTCATTCTAGCTCACGTAAACTACTAATTCTTTTAGAAAAATATTTTAATGAAAATTGCTTTTATGAAAAGTCTATATATATTAGGTATGAAATTTTATTATTTGAATGTCATATTTACAGACTTTAAAAGCATAACCCCCAAAAAAATTTGAATTTATGTAAATTTTGAGATTGTAATTGCATTCAAGACTTATTTTTAAAAAAATTATTAAAAATGCTTTAAGTTTTTAAACAGTTCTCAATGCTTAAAATACAACATTAGCAAATGTTGCATTCTAACAATTTCATTAAAATAACATAAAATTTTGTTTGTTTGAATTTTATTGGCAAAAATTATTCTTTTGTAAAATTCAAAAAAAATTTTCATTAACATATTTTTAACATTTGGTTTGTTTGAATATTATTTGCAAAAATTTATTCTGTTGTAAAATTCAAACAAAATTTTCATTAACATATTTTTAACATTTTGCTTGTTTGAATTTTATTAGCAAAAATTATTCTTTTGTAAAATTCTAACAAAATTTCCATTACAAAATTTTACATTTTGTTTGTTTGAATTTTACAGAAGAATAATTTTTGCGTACAGTTACATAAAGATGATTATAAAATATGGATTTCAGGTTATCATTATTAAATATTTTAGAAGATCTTAAGTATTAATCTTAAGTATTTCGCTCAAGACAAACATTTAACTCAATTTTTTTTTTCTAATAAAAATAGTAATTTAGTAACTTGAAAATTTCAGCATACTTAGTCATCAATTGGGTACCCCCTTTTGATTGTAAACCTAAATCCCATGTCTCTATCTCTGCACGCCAGTATTTCTTTAAAAACCATAGCTAAATGGTTTTATATAATCTTAACCTAAACTATATTACATGGTTGAAGTAGTTATGAAGTAAATAACGATGTCTTCAGATTGCATTAATTTTTTTATTGCTCAAGGGAAGATAAGAAAGTTAAATAAGCGTGCTTTTTAATCAAATTTAATTTCTGTAAAATTATATGATAGATAAAAATTTTAAATGAAACTACTAATATAGTGTCAGATGCTTATTACTCCTTGTTAAACAAAAGATTAATGTATTAAAGATTTTAATCAGAAATTAAGCTCAAGGACATAAAAGTCAATGAATTGAGAAAATAACCCACAAATACATTTGTCAATATCTATAATGTATTACTAATTGCATGGTTATAGAAATGTATCAAAACAAAAATATTAAGAGACTTCAATTAAAAGAAAAAAACTTCTTATATTTAATATTTATTATGTAAATCTTGCATAAAATTTTATATGATGAAACTTTATGTTTAAGTTTTTTATTTAAAGATATTTCTTTTATGCATGATAAATTGTATAAGAATGGTACAAATGCCTAATGGCCCCAAATTTGTTGAATAAATATTTATATAAATACAATCTTTTAGATTTTCAATGCGACAGGGTTAAAAACGTCAGCCCTGTTCTGAAACAGATAAGTGTTCATGTATTCAGCACTGTAAGGTGCAAGAATATTAGGAATAAATAAATATCACAAAACATATAAATTTTGTGGGTATTTATTTAATATTCAATTATATACACAGCACATACAAAATAAATAGAATAAACAAGAGGTGATAAAAACAATGGATTGCACAGACGTACCTGACTAGTACAAAAAAAAAAAAAAAAACAATTTGCAACACAGAAAATTCTCTATGAGAATACAGTGTTCATACAGAGATCAGAAGAAGAAATCCAAGGAGTTCAAGGTTTTAAGGACTTATCAAAAATTAAAAAACTTTGTGTAAAAGATAACTAGACAGTTTTTTTTTTAAAAAATTAAAAAGCAGTTATTATAAGGAACTCGCAAAAATGTATAGTTTACTTATTTCTTTCTAGCCCTTCTGAAATAAATTTTGACTTGGTCGAACTTCATCAAGAAAAATAAGTTATCACTTTGACACATAAATACATTTTCCAATTTCAAATATTTTAATAAATCTTGTTAAAGCACAGATGTTACAGATTAACATAAAAACCTACCAATCTTATATTTTTAAATTTGAGTACATAAGAAAATCTAAGACATTTTATACAAAAAAAAAAAATCACAGTAACTAAATTATTATTTAAGTTTGCTTGTAACATGTAAAATTAAAATTATTTGCTATTATTTTTTTTCTTCTAATTCTTGCATTTAAATTTTTTTTCTTTTAAAGTTCTTCTTAAATTATTAGATTTTGACAGCTATGTCATATCATTAGTTTCCCTGCTTGGACAGTAAATTCATCAGCGTACTTAGTAAGTTCATCTATGCAACACAATAATCTAAGGAGTTTCTAAGGACTAATTTAAAAATCTAAGTAGTTCCAAGTACTCCTTGGAGACTTTTTTTTATTTCCAAGGAGTCTGTACGCACCCTGGAATAAAACCCAAAACATTGCTTTCATTTTTATTAGTATTTTTGTCGTTGCTAAGTTTATGAAAAGTAAAAAATAAAAAAAACATTTGGCGAAGGTAGTTAGCGTAAATACCGCAATATCTCTCACAATCAAAGTTTGACGTTAAACATTTACACTGTTTAAAAGTCAGAAAAAATTAAGTAAAAAAAAAACTGTTTTATCTGAGAAAAATAACACTTTCCAAATATGAGGATTACTTAGTCATTAGCTCTTGGAATGAGGGAGAAAAAATAAATTCCTCTATTCCTTAGAAAAAATTATTATTTATTTAATTTTTTGTTGAATCTCCGTTTTGTTCAGGTTACAAAAATAAATAAAATGAAAAAGCTGTCGGAGATCTTCATTTTCAGCAATTTCTCACTTATGCAACTCTATTTGGAAAGTACGTATCCAGGTCATTACTTTGCATACAAATAAAAGGTGCTTACCTGTTTCAAGGGAAACAACCATAAAGCCATAATCACACTTTATCAGGCAAAGTTTTTAGATAAGAGGTCAATCTTGTCTGACCTTTCGCAGAGAAAAAAATCTTTTTCCTTCCCCTTTTTTTCAAAAAATTTTGTATTCTTCTTTTAAGATAAAGAGATTGCACTTCAAATTACCCTAATTACTATTAAATTATTTTTAGTCTAAGTTATTATAAAATACTTTTATGATATTTATTTGTATATTTTATTCCATTTTGAAGAACACTTATCTAGCTAGATGTAATGAGAAGGTGGGTAAATTAAGCAAAATGAGGGCCATTCAAAAATGAAAAAGTACCTAGCCCTTCATTTCATTTTTAGAGAAATTTCGAAGTACGACACCATTACCACAATTAACGAATCATCGCCAGTTTCGATAAAAGTGTGGCAATTTTTTTAATAGTTCTCAATAACAGATAAACAAAGTTTTGACAAAAAATGTGCTACGGTGTTCTAACAATAGCACAGAATTACCTACAATGTTTAAAATAAACTCGAGACACATTTATGGGCCCCGTGGCAGATTTTTTTTTAGCTATCTGTGACAAACCTCTCTAGCACTAATATCTTTCTGCAAGATACTTTTAATGATAACAAGCATGTATGTTAACAGTTTAAAGTAACAAAAGAACTGTGTTTACAAAAAAAAAACTATATAATTTGTTTTTAACTGAACATGTAATAATTTTTCACTCCAATATTATGGGTGATATTATTGAATTTTGAAAGGGGGTGGAACGTACAAATTAACTCCTTTTCATTTGTAAATAATCATCACAATAAAAAAATAATAGGTAATTAAAAATCATGAAATCCATAGCAGCAATTGCTTAAAAAAAGATCAGAAAGTGATTATCTAAATGAGTGATTCAAATATTATGCGTAAATTTCTCTAGAAAAGAAGAGTCATTTTCATTTTCACTTTTCAAAAGAGAAATCTTTCTGCAAGAACTCTGTAACGTTCTGCAACAATGTCGCCACGATTCTGCCACAGGGTTTATGGGTCAACATATAAAACTTAAAATTATGTTTAACTCTGCACAGAACCCAAAATCTCGATATTACTAAAAGAGTGAGAAAATAGACCAAAAACTGATAACATAGAAATTTCTCATACATAGACTTTATAATAAACTTTGTAAAAATGGGAAAGGAAAATTATAATCACAAATACCCTTTGGCATGAAAACCAGATGATACAATACTTTTTAGTCATTCTAAACTATTCACAATAAAGTTCTTCTAGAAGGAGTATTTGATATATCACAAAAAAGCCTCCTACATTCACTATCTATAGAAGATGATGTTAATGCGGCAGATGTTCAATCACTGCCTGAGTAAAATCTGTTGTGCTAGAGTATCCTCCCAAATCTCTCGTTCTCACTTTACCTTCCTTCAATACGTTCTCGACAGCCTCCGCTACGATGTTTGCATAATATACGAGGTTGACGTGTCGCAGCATTCCCACGGCGCAGAACAGCATGGCCGTTGGGTTGGCAATGTTCTTGCCCACCGCTTCTCCAAACGTGTGACGAGCACCCGGCTCGTGTATGACGCACTCCGAACTGTAACTCGCACCAGGCACCAGACCGGCTCCCCCCACTATGCCCGCAGCCAGGTTGTCTATGATGTTCCCGTAAAGATTGGGCATGACCATCACGTCGAACTGCTCGGGGTGGGACACGAGTTGCATGCAGGTGTTGTCAATGATCATGTTGGAGAATTCGATTTGGGGATAGAGCTTGGAGACCTCCTCGCAGCATCGGAGGAAGAGACCGTCCCCAAGCTTCATGATGTTCGCTTTGTGGACAGCGGTCACCTTCTTGCGACCCCTCTTGGTGGCGTAGTCGAAAGCAAACTTGGCGATTTTTGCAGACCGCTCTTGGGTGACGATTTTGAGGCACTCGATAACTCCAGGAACACTTTCATGCTCCAGAGCGCTGTACTCCCCTTCCGTCTGCTCCCGAATAATCACAAAGTCCAGGTTACTGTGCCGAGTTTTTACTCCGGGAAAAGTTCGAACGTGGACGACATTGGCGAATAAATCCAAGTCCTTTCTGATCTTCATGTTGAGTGTTTGCAATTCACCGGTGTGGGTGCTGAATGGAGACTGCAAGGTACCTTTCAGGGCTACTCCGTTTTTTTTAACAGATTGCATCACCTCTTCGACAGAAACGCTCATAGATTGGTGAACCTCGCTCAAGAACAACTCTTCGAATTCTACGGGAACACTAATAGCCTGAAAAACATCCTTGACTGACTGGCAAAGTTCGGGACCAACGCCGTCGCCTGGGATTAAAGTGCATTTCACGCGCTTGTCGGTTTTTCTCGCATCCTCCAGATTATGTACGGGAGACCAAAAGATACTTCTGACATTTTTTGTTAAAATATTGGACTGAGTTTTGTTCAAGAGAGGAGAGTGGCGCAAAAAAGTAAATAAATTCCGTGCAGCTGCCATTGCTTCAATGAGCTCAAGAGCAAGAAGGTCACGTTTTCTCCGAATTTCACTACGCAGCTTGGAATCTCCTGCTCTGGCTAATCTCCAAAATAGAAGCTTGTTTCTCCTCCACTCGTGGCGCTGCAAATTACAATTTCTCTTCNGCCCGTGGGGGGGGGGGGGAGCCTTCAGTGTTCCGTCCTCCTATTCATTTGCTCAGAGAAACCCGATTTAAAGAACCTCTATTTAGCGAATGTCGTGATTTAACGAATTTGAGAGAAAGGAATGAAAACCAACTCACCTTTGAAAAGAATATTTTAAGTTAAATCAAAAAACGCTTGCGAAAACAATGATAAAAATTACAAAAACTTTTTAGGTTTATTGTTATAAATAGAGCTAAATTTAACTTTAAACAAATTTTAATATTTAAAAAATACTATACTTTGACATTTAAAAAGTGTAAAAAAAATTTTTCAAGACTGAATTTAAACACTGAAGTATAAAAGTTTTCACCCATAAAACTACCTCTCAAAATATATCCTTGACGAAAGAAAAATAATGATTTTCAAGAATTTTAAAGCCTTTTTAAATAAAATAAAAAACTAAATAATATAATAAAACTAGCACTGTTTTTTCATTATACATTGTACTCTGTATACCAATACTCGTTCTTACTAGTACAAACTGAATACCGAATGACGGGGAAGTCGTAAATATTAATTAGAATTTTTCTTATCACTCTCAACAAGGAAACAAAAATAGAATATCTTGCAATGGCGTTGTAAAAAAAAAAAAGAGAGAGAGCGAAGCAAATCATTTTGTTCACTTTCAGGAGGACTAAAATTTACTTTTAGCCAGGGGCGGATCCAGCAGGGGGTCATGACCCCCCCCCCCAAAAGAAAAAATATTTGAAAAATAAAATAAAAATAATAATTTTTTTAATAGTTTACAAAAGAAATAAAAAATATCTTAAAAATTATTTAAGGAGGCATATGCACCTAGGTAGGTCGGAAAAATCGATTTTTTTACCATCTGATTATGTTCTTCACTGTTTCAAGAATCATAATCCAAAATATTACAACGAAATTCGTCATAGTTTCATTGTAAACATTAATAATGTAATAAACATTAACATTGTAAACATTAATAATTTAATTTTATTTCTTTTTAATTTTATGTTACTTTATTTCATAAACTTGTTCAAATATTTATTTATTGTATAAAAAGCATGCAATTTTATTTGTATGATTTTTATTTTATTGAAAAGTATATTCTTAAAATATGTAGCCAGAAAGAATTTTTTTTAGCTATGTTTAATAACGATAAAACAAATTTTGAAACAAGTGTCTTGTTTATTTTTTTTAAAACTCTAAGTATATGTAGTAAAAAATCACTGACAGATTTGCCAAAGTTTCTAAAAAACGCATTACATTTATTATTTAAAGATTTTGAATACTTGATTTATGTATTGTTCATTATGAAAAAAATAAATGAGAAGACTAGCATTAAAACCCCCAGTTTTTTTTTTTCTTTCAAAAAAAAAATTTTTTTTAATAAAAATTATTTGTGAGGGGGGGATTTGAATCTATGACCCCCCCCAGGAAAAATTTTGGATCCGCCCCTGGTGTTTATCTTTATAAAAAGCTGGGGGGATAAAATTGTTCCTCTATAAATTTTAGGAAAACACAAACGGTGAGAGACAAATTCTTCCTTTAATAATTATAAGTAATTAATTATCATGAAGGTATTATTTGACATAAATGACATGTTAGATATGCAGAAAAAATGTTTAAAATGTCAATTGTGCCTGATTTTTTTTTTAAATGCTTAGTAGGTATGGTATCAATGTTTAGTTAAGTACTTTTCGTTCTCGCCAAGAGACACAAAACTGTGCCAAAGTACCGAAAATTGTTGGTATGTGATGGGTATCATTCACGAAAATTTTATTCAAGATTAAATTTATTCAGAATAAATTTATTCTGAATGATTACTCATATGAAAATTTAGTCATTATTCATTATGCAAATGTATAAAAAATTTTGAATAATGATTGATGAATAAACTCATTAGTCATGACTAATTTTTCTGAATAAAATTTTGAATAACCAGCGAAAAATGCAATCGATATGTCTTTGTCTATAACGAGATGCAAAACATCGTTTGCTCTTAAACTTCTTATTTTTGGAATTTAACTATAAAACTAAGACAAGTATGAATATTTATTTTTATGTTATTTTAAACTTACTCCAGCGTAACATACTTAGTTGTGCTAAAAAGTAGGTTTATAACAGTTTAGTTACTTAAATTCATTTTAAAATTTTGTTCTACAATCTATAAAACACAATTTCTTATAGTTTTTTAAAGCAAACGATAATATTATTTTAAATTTTTAAATAAAATTTTAATTAAAAAAATTAAACCCTTTTATTTGTAGTTGTCATAATCGTAGTCAATTAGAGTATTCCGTGCCCATTTCTGTTGACCAGTAAAATTATTCAGTTATTCTTGACTAATGAATAAAGGATACTGAATAATGAATGATTAATTCTTCATTCAAAATATTTCTGACAAATGAATAAATCTTTATTCATTATTCAGATTTTGAATAATTATTCATTATTCTGAATGACAAATGCTCATCTCTGCTATTATAACCTTGCTTTTAAGTCTTTTTCAAACTTTTCTACAAGAAATAACTTCTTATAAAATAGAGTTACGTTTTATCCAAAAATTAACAGTTTATGAGGCATATAATAACAGATACAAGTGTTAAGTAGAGCCTTCATAATTTTTAAAAATAACTATTTAGAAAAATGTGGGATTGTTTTTACATTATATTTGCGCATAATCGATAAATAGAATGAATTCGATAAATATGATTTAAAAGAAAGTAAAAAGAACTACATACAAATAATTTTTAAATTCTACCAGATAAAAATACCTTGCTAATAACTTCATGTGAAGTCTACAAGGAAAATGAAGGTTTCGTTTTCTTTCAGTAAATTTCGGCTCTCTACCAATCACAGAATATTATCTGAATCACGCAGTTTTCTAGCGAAGTTAGAATTAGGAACTCTACCTCTGTAATGTGCTTATGGCCTCTTTTTTTTTTGTCGAAATTAAGCCCTGCTTTTAGATATAAGTTCCAGAAAAGCTTGTTAAAAGGAGAATTTTTATTTTATTTCCTGTTTCTGCCAAATCGCTTTTGTTTATTGTTTGTAGAATTCTGTAAGGAGTTGAGTAGAAATTATCGTAGATTAGTTGCAAACAACAAACGTTTATGCAGGGTATCTGCCCACCATGGAAAGTCATGAGAAATCATGGAAAGTCATGAATTTCGGTACTGAACAAAACTAGTCATGAAACGTCTTGATTTTTTTTTTTTTTTTTAANTCTGATTTTTTTTTTTTTTTTAAATCATGGAAAGTTTTGGCTTTAGGCCGCCGAAAAATCTAGTTTTTAAAATAGATTTACCCCCCCCCCCAATTTCACGGTGATTCGAATATCTGAAGTTGTAATAAAATCCCCACTCACAGTCATATTTTATTAAAATATAAAATGTTTTTATCGTGTTCTTTAAAAATTAGGGTGTTCATTCAAAAAAATGAAATAAAAAAACATCAATTCTAGAGCGAATTATCTTTTAAACTTCTGTGATTTCAGAATGTTTGTTATTTATTTTTTATTCTTTCAATTTAAAATTCTAACTGAAGCAAGCCAGTCATTGGCGAATTTTTTTAACTCCGAAATGAAAACAGAAAAATCAGGAGGATTTCTTTCCGATGAACAAGAAAAGTATCTTTAGAATATAATTCTGCGGGGGGGGGGGGNTAAATGCTCGGGGGGATTTGCTTTTGTATTTTTTTCAGCTTTTTTATTGCATCAACTCTTTCTTTACTCTGTTTTGTTAAATTTAAAATCAATAAATATGAAGATGCTGAGTATAACAGTTTTGGTTATACCTATCATTTTAATGAATGTTATTATAATGCTTTTTAAATTTATTGTTGTGTCAGAGAAAATATAGTAACTTCGTTAAATCATGAAAAGTTCTTGGAATTTGTCATGAATTTAAAAATCTAAAATGTAGCAGATACCCTGTTTAATGTTATTTGAAATTAAGGAAATACTCAATTATTATTATTATTAAGGAAATTATTAAGGAATTACTCAGGAATTACTAGAAATATTATTAAGAAAATACTCAAAAATCGCGACTCAACCGTCGGTTAAGCGGAATTTGATGAGGGAAGCGGTTAATATGTTAGCGTTTAATCTTGATGATAGCGGTTAATCTTGATGATAGCGGTTACTCTTGGTGATAGCGGTTAATCTTGATGATAGCGGTTAATCTTGAAGCTGTAAATCTTGATTAACCGCTTCCCTTACCAATTTTTTTTTGAGAAAAAAATACAAAAATTCAACATTTTTTTTTTTATTTTATTAATGAATACAAGGAACTAAAACAAAACATAATACACAAGCTCTAAGTTGAAATTTTAATTTGTTTTATGAGAAAATATTTTTTTTCATTTACTATCAGTTTACCATAACAAATGTTCTCGGGCAAATGACGAAAGTTTTATATGAGTCTTTGTATATGTTCACATCTTCATAATCTGAAAAATCATCTACACTACTTTCGATCGCGAACGCCATTTTTTTTTTACTCTTTTTTTTTCTATGTAAATGCATCAACCATCGTATATATACAATTGTACAAAACACGTCTGCAGTTCCATAAACAGCAAAACTCCCAAACAAGTATTGGAAAACTTCCAATCACAGCAGATCATTATTATTTTTTGTTTTGCTTCCGGTCGAATAAAAACGTGATAAAACAAATCATAGTAATTCTACTATGCCCGAGTTTACTCGGAAAAATAAATATTTGCAATACAGTCGAATCTCGCTAACTCGAACCTCGATTTCACGAATTTTTCGATATCTCGAAGGAAAAAAAATTTCCTTCAAATTTCCTATACACTCAATGTTTAAAAAAAAATTCGATTTCACGAATTTTTTTTTTCTAATCCCTGAATTTTTTTTCTCCATAAATAGTGTAGATTTTTCTTCTGAAAATAAAAAACTATTCCAAAAAAATAAAAAAAATTAAGAATAGAAAACCAATTCTCATAATGATAAACTTTTTTTAAAAAATGGACATAAAGACATCAGTGGCATGGAATGGTGTGTCTTTCTCTACGATAATGAATGGCTTCAAGAAGTCTGGACTCATTAAAGATCACGAAAGTAGTCAAACAATCAGTATCGTTAATTCTACTGAAAACTACACCGAAAATGATTGGGACAGATTGACCGGATTCACGAAGCTTGATGACATGGAATTTCATGACTTTGTAAACGTAGATAATGCAGTAACAGTGATGCAGTCAGTGGGATGACAATGGTATCATCGCTCAAACGAAAGCTTCTTGTGAACTATCAGAAGAAGAGGATGAGGAAATCGAAGATTTACCGCCCAATGTTACTAACACACAAGCAGTTTCTGCAGTGGACACTGTAAGGAGATTTATTTGAGAGGCAGCCGAATATGTCGGAGGAGACATTTAAAGCTATAGTCCACTTAGAAAGTGTTACAGACAAACTTTCTTACGCATCTCTAAAAAAAAAACAATTAAATCTTTTTTTTAAATGAAAGTGTAAAAAGTGTTTTTAGAATAAATATGGAATAATAAATAAGGTATGTAAAGAGCATTTTTCTTTATTCTACCATCGATAACATGCGATTTTCGATAATTAGAATTTTCGATAACTCGAATTTTTTCTCATCTCCCTTCAAGTTCGAGATATCGAGGTTTGACTGTGTATGCATACCCGAGATAATCAGGGAAGCGATTAAGATATAATAATTTTCTACTGAATATTGAGGACTTACGTTTGCAAGATCGTCCATCAGATTGTAAAAGAAAACCATCCTTGCAAGAGCAGTTCTGCACTTTGTTCTTGAAAGTGCATTTATGCTGACATCCACCATTTTTAACGTTGCATGGATTAATTTCTGAAACAATCAAAAATGAATAAAAGAAGTGATAAATTGTTATTTGGATGATTTTTATCGATTCAAAATTGACCGAAGTATCCAATAATACACGTTTATAGTAGACTTTTGGGTATAAACAAGATATAAAAATGAGATACGCTTACTTCCACCAAAAGTTAGAGAACATTTCTAAATACACTTATTTATTTTATTTAATAACCATCACTGAACCGCCGACACAATTTTCGGGTTTACGAATACTCACGTTCAACTCCGTACCCTTGTCGTTTTGAACCCAATCCAGAAGACAAGGGAACTCTTGTATTAAGTACTGGGAGAAATTTGCCTTCGTGGAAGACTTCTTGACGGAACTAACCCGCATTTGCGTTACANTATTTCATGGTGTTCCGAATATCTGAATTTCTAACAAAATCCCCACTCACACTCATATTTTATTAAAATATAAAATGTTTTTATCGTGTTCTTTGAAAATTATGATGTTCTTTCAAAAACTTAAAGAAAAGACATCAATTCTAGAGCGAATTATCTTTTAAACTTCTGTGATTTCAGAATTTTTGTTATTTATTTTTTTATTCTTTCAATTTAAAATTCTAACTGAAGCAAGCCAGTCATTGGAGAAATTTTTTAACTCCGAAATGAGAACAGAAAATTCAGGAGGATTTCTTTCCGATGAACAAGAAAAGTATCTTTAGAATATAATTCTGTGGGGAAAAAAAATTTTGCTTTTGTATTTTTTTCAGCTTTTTTATTGCTTCAACTCTTTCTTGACTTTGTTTTTTAAATTTAAAATCAATAAATATGAAGTTGCAGAGGGTAAGAGTTTTGGTTATACCTATCATTTCAATGAATGTAATTATAGTGCTTTTTGAATTTATTGTTGTGTCAGAGAAAATATAGTAACTTCGTTAAGTCATGAAAAGTTCTTGGAATTAGTCATGAATTTAAAAATCTAAAATGTAGCAGATAGCCTGTTTATACCTCTTGGTAAAAGAAAAAAAAATGTTATTTGAAATTAAGGAAATACTTAATTATTATTATTAAGAAAATTATTAAGGAATTACTCAGGAATTACTAAGGAATATTATTAAGGAAATACTCAAAAATCGCGACTCAACCGTCGGTTAAGCGGAATTTGGTAAGGGAAGCGGTTAATCTTGATGATAGCGGTTAATCTTGAAGCGGTAAATCTTGATTAACCGCTTCCCTTACCAATTTTGTTGGAGAAAAAAATTCAAAAATTCAACATATTTTTTTTATTTTATTAATGAATACAAGGAACTAAAACAAAACATAATACACAAGCTCTAAGTTGAAATTTTAATTTTTTTATGAGCAAATATTTTTTTCATTTACTACCAGTTTACAATAACAAATTATCTCGGGAAAATGAAGAAAGTTTAATATTAGTCTTTGTCAGGGCTCGAAAAACCACCCGTCCGCCCGTCCTCGGCGGTCAAAAATTCAAGGTGGACAACAAATTTCTCGAATCCGACGTCCGCACGGACGGCCATTTTCCCGTTAATGTTCGTGATACATTTTCAATTTTTGTTATCTTACAAGAGTCTAGCACCTCACTTCTAAAATGACCCTCTAATCTCGAAATACAGCAACATACTGTGCGCATGGTGGAATTGATGTTTTCTCTGTCTGGGAGTACTACAGCGGTTGAAAGGGGCTTTTCAGCAATGAACTTACAAAAAAACACATTACTTACTGGCTTTAATCAAGAAGCGTTAAACGCATTTATGAACATCTACCTAAATGGAAAACCTCCTTCAGATTTCTGTGCAGAAACCTCTGTAAATCATTGGCTTGATTGTGGAACTGGCAAACGTCATATTTGGTTCATTTAAAAAATACAGTACCCTCGAATAAATTGACATTCCAGATAACTTGACGTTTGTCATTTAAATTATTTCGTCAAAGAAATAAATGATTTCATAAAAGAAATACTATAGGTTACTATTAGTAACCTAGTATTTCTTTTATTACTATATAATGTAATCCTAGTAACAATTCATTGTGCAATTTATATAAATGTTTGTAATAAATGAGAGAAAATTATATTTTCATTTATTTAGAAGCGACGGGTTAGTTTCAAAGGAGGACGGGTACATTGTTGGACAAGCCGTAATCGGGGACGGGTAAAAGATTTGAGTTTTTAGAAACCCTGGTCTTTGTATATGTTCACATCTTCATCATCTGAAAAATCACCTGCATTACTTTCGTTCGCGAACGCCATTTTTTTTTACTCTTTTTTTTCTATGTAAATGCATCAACCATGGTATATACAATTGTACACAACACGTCTGCAGTCCCATAAACAGCAAAACTCCCAAACAAATATTGGCAAACCTCCAATCGCAGTAGATCATTATTATTTTTTGTTTTGCTTCCGGTCGAATAAAAACGTGATAAAACAAATCATAGTAATTCTACTATGCCCGAGTTTACTCGGAAAAATAAATATTTGCAATACAGTCGAATCTCGCTAACTCGAACCTCAATTTCACGAATTTTTCGATATCTCGAAAAAAAAAAATTCCTTTAAATTTCCTATACACTCAATGCTTAAAAAAAATTCGATTTCACGAATTTTTTTTTTCTAATCCCTGATTTTTTTTTCTCCATAAATAGTGTAGATTTTTCTTCTGAAAATAAAAAACTATTCCAAAAAAATAAAAAAAATTAAGATTAGAAAACCAATTCTCATAATGATAAACTTTTTTTTAAAAAATGGACATAAAGACGTCAGTGGCATGGAATGATGCGTCTCTCTCTACGATAATGAATGGCTTCAAGAAGGCTGGATTCATTAAAGATCACGAAAATAGTCAAACAATCAGTATCGTTAATTCTACTGAAAACTACACCGAAAATGATTGGGACAGATTGACCGGACTCACGAAGCTTGATGACATGGAATTTCATGACTTTGTAAACGTAGATGATGCAGTAACAGTGTGTGGTCAGTGGGATGACAATGATATCATCGCTCAAACGAAAGCTTCTTGTGAACTATCAGAAGAAGAGGATGAGGAAATCGAAGATTTACCGCCCAATGTTACTAACAAACAAGCACTTTCTGCAGTGGATACTGTAAGGAGATTTATTTGAGAGGCAGCCAAATATGTCAGAGGAGACATTTAAAGCTATAGTCCACTTAGAAATAGTTACAGACAAACTTTCTTACGCATCTCTAAAGCAAACAACAATTGAATCTTTTTTTAAATGAAAGTGCAAAAAGTGTTTTTAGAATAAATATGGAATAGTAATTAAGGTATGTAAAGAGCATTTTTCTTTAATCTACCATCGATAGCATGCGATTTTCGATAATTAGAATTTTCGATATCTCGAATTTTTTCTCATCTCCCTTCAAGTTCGAGATATCGAGGTTTGACTGTGTATGCATACCCGAGATAATCAGGGAAGCGATTAAGATATAATAATTTTCTACTGAATATTGAGGACTTACGTTTGCAAGATCGTCCATCAGATTGTAAAAGAAAACCATCCTTGCAAGAGCAGTTCTGCACTTTGTTCTTGAAAGTGCATTTATGCTGACATCCACCATTTTTAACGTTGCATGGATTAATTTCTGAAACAATCAAAAATGAATAAAAGAAGTGATAAATTGTTATTTGGATGATTTTTATCGATTCAAAATTGACCGAAGTATCCAATAATACACGTTTATAGTAGACTTTTGGGTATAAACAAGATATAAAAATGAGATACGCTTACTTCCACCAAAAGTTAGAGAACATTTCTAAATACACTTATTTATTTTATTTAATAACCATCACTGAACCGCCGACACAATTTTCGGGTTTACGAATACTCACGTTCAACTCCGTACCCTTGTCGTTTTGAACCCAATCCAGAAGACAAGGGAACTCTTGTATTAAGTACTGGGAGAAATTTGCCTTCGTGGAAGACTTCTTGACGGAACTAACCCGCATTTGCGTTACATGGACAGGAAACCCACGAAAACCTCCAACGGTTAATCTAACGGCAAGGAGACTCTAACCCGTGATCGATCTACCACTGAGGGAAATTTCATGTCAATAGTGCGCTCGTTGCAAGCCGGATGCGGAACTCGTATCGACCAGCCATCGCTGGGATTCGAACCCAGTTCACCTCTTTGGAAGGCAGAAAACCACGAAAAACTACCACGGTTCGCCTGACGTCGAGGGGACTCTAACCCATGATACGTCAATCACTAAAGATATTTCACGTCTACACTATGGTCGGAGCGAGCTGGGTGCGGAACTCGTATCGACCAGTCATCGTTGGGATTCGAACCCAGTTCACCTCTTTGGAAGGCAGAAAACCACGAAAACCTACCACGGTTCGCCTGACGTCGAGGGGACTCTAACCCATGATACGTCAATCACTGAAGATATTTCACGTCTACACTATGGTCGGAGCGAGCTGGGTGCGGAACTCGTATCGACCAGTCATCGTTGGGATTCGAACCCNTAGAATTTTCGGAACTTCAGGTTTTCGGAACTTCAGGTTTTCAGATCAGGTTTTCGGAACTTCAGTATTCAAAAAAGTATACAAAACCTAGACGTTAAGAACGTATCCAATGAGCGAGCAAAGCGAGCATTGGATTGCGTCGCAATCCGAAATGAACTGCGAAAGCAGTTCCGAGGGTTGGTGAGCGCCAGCGAGCAGGGGGCGAAGCCTCCTAGTTATTAATAAAAGCTGAGTTATTATTATTTGTTGCTCTTCAGGTGACTTTTCGTAATAAGAGTTAAGTAAAACACGTTTTTTAGATCACATCGAAAGGAAGATTCAGTATATTGCTGTTGCTCGAGGTTATCTCATGATAGAGTTCAAGCCATTTTTTCCGATCCTTTCAAAGGAGCCATAAAAAACGCCCCAACATTAAAGCTATACAGTATTGATGCGGTTTTAATATACCAATATAATATGCTTTCTACCTGTATTAACGCTACATATTAAGACTGCACTATTACCATAATATCAATGATTACATGTCTCCTAAGCGACCCTCTACTAATTTACTCTAATAACTTTGCTTTTTTTTAATAATACATAAAATAATGAATGCGGAGTTCATTTTAGACACTGTTTATTATTAATAGCTCTTTCAAATTACAATATTATTTATAATTTTTAATTCAAGTAATCACTTTACAGGGTGCGTAGCCAAATCTTCCAACAAAAAATAAGCACCTTTTAAGTACTTTTGAAGCACTATATACATAAACAAAATGCAAAATAATTTTCAAAGACTTTACACGATCACGATAAAATAACTAGTTTCTGACAAAGAACTCTTTTTTCTTCATTATATTAGCCATTATTAAATGCTCGAGAGATTTTTTGGTTCGGAAAGTGAAGCCTGAAGTTGAGAATATCTTGCAAAATGCAGAAGAGTTGCACATGACAGTGCAATAATCTAACCGAGCCCAACGCATAGACGCACATGCGGACTGCCAAGTATTTCATCAAACTTGTAAAATGATTAGCGTTTTCATACGATATGGACCAACGGTGATTGAATGAATTGTGAATAACGATGAACAATGTGAAAAGCACGCTTTTGCATAATACGACACGAAAATCGACATGGTAAAGAAAAAATCTCTGCCAATATTTGATTCGGGAATTCCCTTGTCTTCTGAATTGGGTTCAAAATGACAAGGTTATGGAGTTGAACATTAGTTGTCGTAAACCCGAAAAATTGGGTAGGTTGCTCATTCCCACTTATTCGGCAAAGGATAATTTATTTTCGAAAATAGGGAGCTGTCCATTTTTTTAAAAATATGATGTTACTTATTTACCTTTACAGGTCTTTCCATCTGGCAAAAGCCTGTAACTCTCATAGCATCCACATCTAGCTTTGTCTTTTGAAGAATCATAGAAACAGGTGTGTTGACATCCACCTTTATCTTCCGCATCACATGGATCCTTCTCTAACAAACAAACACACAAAAATTCTTTTTAAACTTGCCTTTCCTTTCTCTTTACTCAAAGAGATCATTTTTTTTTAAAAACTACATTAATTCGCCAGAATATTTTTTTTTAAAACTGCATTAATTCGTCAGAATAATTTTTTTTTTAAAACTACATAAATTCGTCAGAATCATTTTTTTTTTTAAAAAACTACATTAATTCGTCAGAATCATTTTTTTAAAAATTACATTAATTTGTCAGAATCATTTTTTTTTAAAACTACATGAATTCGTCAGAAATGTTTTTTTTTTATTTTTAGTTTAAATAATTATTTTCGACTCCTAATGCTAATTTTTTCCTTTCATTTTCGGAAAGCGTTCTAAAAATTTAGGGTGGTATTACAAAACAACCTGTATATGCATAATTATATTATTCTTTACCAGGGTTACCACTCAAATCTAGAAGGAAAAAAATTGCATACACGATATATTAAGAGGTAACAACAATTACTGTGCTCTTGTGTGAGCCATATTGGGATAACTATATCTATTACTTTTAATTGCCGGAAAAAACAGCTGAACATGCTTAAATAATGCTACAGTAAATGAAATAGTTTAGTATAGCTGAAATATCATGGTTAAATATCCCATAGATTACGCTTTGAGTGGTCACCCTTTTTTAAAAGATGAAAATAAGAAACAAAATTCCCTGTATTTTTCCAGTTAGTAAAGAAAATATCAAAATTCCCCGCATTTTCCCTGTTATTTCAGGTGATTTTTAAATTCCCTGTATTTTCCAGGTTTTCCCTGTGGAGTGGTAACCCTGTTCACACATTTTATAGCACATACACAATTTTAAACCACATTAGGAATGGATATATTCAAAAACAAAAATTTACAATTTCATAAAATAAAATTGTCTACAGTTGAATTAAGGTCAATTGCTTACGATGGATGTTTCTAAAGATGATTTTTTTTCTTCCACCATCTTTCTTGGAGTTAAAATTCTGTTTTTTTTTTTTTTTTNTTTTTTTTTTTCTTCCGCCATCTTTCTTGGAGTTAAAATTCTGATATTTCTTTCTTCCACCATCTTTCTTGGAGTTAAAATTCTAATATTTTTTTTCTTTCGCCATCTTTCTTGGAGTTAAAATTCTGATTTTTTTTCTTTCGCCATCTTTCTTGGAGTTAAAATTCTGATTTTTTTTTCTTTCGCCATCTTTCTTGGAGTTAAAATTCTGATATTTTTTTCTTCCGCCATCCTTCTCGGAGTTAAAATTCTGATTTTTTTTTTCTTCCGCCATCTGTCCTGGAATTAAAATTCTAGAGTTTTTTTTTTCTTCCACCATCTTTCTTGGAGTTAAAATTCTGATATTTCTTTCTTCCGCCATCTTTCTTGGAGTTAAAATTCTGATATTTTTTTCTTCCGCCATCGTTCTTGGAGTTAAAATTCTGATTTTTTTTTATTTCCTCGGTGTACCCAATTGCGTGAAGAATATTTTTTTAAAAATTTAAAAAACATGTTTAAAAGTATATTTGGTATTCTTCGACGTTTCAGTTTCGTCAAGTAAAAAGAGGACGCTATATCATGGGAGAAACATTTCATGGCAAATTCCATAGTAATTTGAAATTTAAAGAAAAGTGAGAGCAGAAAAGCCTAGAGTAAAATCATTAAGATTCAAATGCGGAAAAGATGTTTTCAAAATAGCTAAATGCAAACAAATTGTATGATTAATTCCCCCGCTGCGTAATCCTGTCATAATTTCGATATTTTCAAAAAAAATTTTCCCGCTGCGTAATCCTGTCATAATTTCGATATTTTCAAAAAAAATTTTCAGCATTTAAAACTTCATGGTTTATTCTAGGCTTACCTGAACTAACTCTTTTGTCGAACTTTAAATTTTGAAATACCAAAAATGGAGGGAAACAGAGTTTGCCATGGAATGTTTTTCTCACGCTATAGCATCCTCTTGAAGTCGCAGTCGTACTACAGTCAAACCCAGCTACAGTGAACATGGTGATCTCCCGGATATAGAGAACGAAATGTCGCTCCTGCGCTTTACTATACACATATATTATTTTTTGTGTATATAGTGAACCAAAAGAAGAAAGGAAATTGGATATTATGAGCTTTGATCTGTCTTCGACTGATTTTTTTTCTTCATTTTTTGGTCACTTTGAAATTTCTACATAAAATGCATATACCGATTTTTAAAACCATCGATTGAGGGGAATGTATAGCCGTAAGCATTTTTTTCCTGTTTGCTTCTTCTATCTCAGTTTCTCATCTCTAAATAAAGACCATCCCTCCATTTTTGGTACGCAAGACGAAGAGTCATAAAAAAAATAAAAGTTAACACACTTTTTGTGACTACATATTGTTTTTTCAATCATTTTTGTATTTCTTTTTATGTGTCATTTATTTAAATAATGCGTCATAAAAGGGAGCAGTTCGAAAAAAATGAGTTAAAATTATTTTCAGTACGGACATAGTGAAATTTCGGTCCCTTGAAGGTTCTGTGGGATACACACTACCCAAAATAGAAAAACATTTCTCAATAAAGCAGTGCAAACTTAACAATCTTGTGATTATAGTGACTTCAACTTCAACTACACACATTCTTTTCGATGTTTTCAAACGATGTAGCACGCTGCAGCTAACATGTGCATTCTACGACTGTTCTAACCTAATTTATGTAACTTTTATTTTGTATTTAACCCGGATTAAAACTTAATCTCGAACAATAAATGTTTAAATAACCTTCCTTTTATTGTTGACTCCACATCTGAGGGGCCCCCACAGTTCGCTATAGCGGGGTTTGATCGTATTCATCAAGGCAGAGAACAGAAATTTGGACTCACTTTTGCATGATTTGGCATCTGCCTGAAGAGTGAATCCCGTGCGGCAGAGGCACTGTTTTCTGCCGTCTTCATAGTTGCAGAACTGATCGCATCCACCCTTGTTCAGCAGACACGGATTGATTTCTAATGAAAATAGAAGTTTTAATTCACTTTCAGGGCTCCTGATAAATAACAGGAATGGTTGTTATCCTACCTGTGCAAGTGTGGCCATCGGAGTGAAGATCAAAACCACTCTCACAGGAACATCGTTTCATTCCGTTCTCGTAGTTGCAAAAATGGTGACAACCACCATTCTCCAAAGCACAAGGATCCACCTCTAAAAAAAGGAAAGTTTGTTTTTCAAGTGACAAAATGGGGTCTACAGATCTGTTTACACGGTCCAAGTTCTTGAATCTGAGAAATGGGTGGAATTTCTCTCTCTCCAAAAAATTGGATGATTCGTCGACACTATCGAGTTCTTGAATCTCACTGATGGGTCGGAAGAAAAACTTGCGCATGCGCATTGTTCATATTCAACATTACAAAATCATGCTTATATAACTTTAAAATGACTAAATAAAATCATAATACCACAAATAGACCATAATAGATTAATTTATTTGGACTAAAATATATGAAAACCGACAACAAAATGATATAATCTGAATGCCTGCTTGTTGACGTCACAAAATTTAAGACGCTGATTTAACCAATCAGCGTCTTAAATTTTGCCTAGGGAGGAAAATCTTGGATGGAAAATAGAACATGCTCTACTATCGTCCAATGACCAAGCTCAAAACAAAAACAAGTTTCCATCAATCTTCGTCCAAGAACCTGGATCGTCAAAACAGGCCTTTACATGGGGTGGTTTGTGAATACCGGATATGGAATAATGCCGTGGGAGGTATTCATCCCACTAACTTCATTTATCTTTAAATATCGGCAGGGAAGCTATTTTTCCCACCTACGTGGTCATCAGCTATTAAAAAATACAAAAAAAAATGCTCATGAAGAGCTCTGTTTACATAAATGTGGGTAGCCAGAGAGATTAACGATAGAGAACTAGTGGCTTTTGGTGCGATGATTTGATTTCGCATTCAGTTTATTTGTGGTTCTAAATAGAGAATTAATAAATTAGATTTTTATAAGCACAGTCATTCAAGTGTGTGACCAATTCGTTTCAGTAGGTAAATTTTTGAAAATACCATCTACGCGTTCTCCAAAAAAATTAGTCTAAGAAAACAAATAAATACAAGGCAATAAACGAAATGATTTTTTTTTTTTTTACTAAATTACAAAACCAAAAATAATTTGATGTAACATTACTCGAAAAAATTGCCGATTTATAGTTAATTATTTATAGAGTATTTTCGATGTAATGATGGATAGAATTTAACGAATATGACAAAGCATAAAGTAGAGAGGGAACGAGTTTTCTCATTTAGACAACTTCATTTAAGCGAAAGTGTCCGATTTTTTACTGACAAATTATTAAAAAATACAACATTTTAATGATCAACTGCTATTATTATGATTGACTTATCTAAAGTTACGTCTACAGCGGCAAGTAAATAAAACTTTTTAAGTCATTCAGGTTGTATACCATTGTGGTTAGAACTTCCGGCTACAAACTCAAAAATACCTAAATAGATATTTTAAAAAAATCAATTTATCCGTATTTATTGAAGACGAGAAATAGAACGAATCATGTAGCTACCTTATTAAAATAATCCTATTTTTTTCCTCTCGTCGAATATCTCATATCGTTGTGTAGAAACGACATAAAAAGGAAAATACGTATCTTTCGGTAAACTTTAAACATTGCATAAAAAAACACCTAAAGTTTAAAAATTTAATCACTCTAAAATTAATTAGAACTGTGAAGAGTGGTGCATAAGAAGAGTGGGAATTAAAATGCTGTGAAGAGTGGGAAGAGTGGTGCTGTGAAGAGTGGGAATTAAAACAACGGCTAGCTAACTTTTTATTTTATTGTAAACAACATGATTATAGTTAGCACTCCGCACATTCACAAACATAACATATAAAACATATATGAAGAAAAAAAAATAAGGAGCTTTGCATAGCAGGCTTTCTACAGTTCATTCACACTCTCTCACTGTCTCTGAGTTTTTTTCTATAGTTTCTCGCTAGGAGGCGTTGCTAGTTCCAGTTTCTCCACAGAACTTTTATAAGAGTAATAAAACTGCAAAAAATTTTTACTGCCAATGGGTTTTCTAAAAATCCAAAAAAACTGTCAAAATAAACTACACTTGTTATCGCAAATTAAGAAAAAAATTACAAAAAAAAGCGACAACTCTCCCAAAAATAAGCCAATCCCAATGGAATTTTGAGTATGTTGTCAAATAAGAGTTGTAAAGTAAAATTACAACATGCAGATTAATGGCGCTGCAATGGACTGACGTTATCTGCAATGAGCATTGTAGAAATACTTGTTATTGAACCACCGATAGATGGCGGAGTTTATCATCAGATTGTAACCGTAACTGCAAACTAAGATTTTGTAAAAAAGCAAGAACATCTACATTGTAATGTAGTAGTAATTGTCTACCATTGTACCGTATTAATCATGTTAACTATTTAAATATATTTTTGTTACTTACCCCTTGGTAATTATTGAGTAGTTTTCCTGTGCCACCAAGAAAACGAGAAAAAGGATATATTCACTAAAAATAGTAATAAATCTTCGGTGTATTTACCCTGTTAGAATTGCTTTAAGTTGAAAAGCGAAAAGCATAAAATGTTATGTTTGATCGCAAACTTGCGAATTTTGTTGTTTCTGAAATTGTTGTTGTAGTAGTTCAGCTGTACGATGGGCTATTGGCGACGGTCTAGGAAACATCCCTGAGGAAGATCCGAAGGCATGCCATCACTATTTAGATCCTCTGCAGAGGGGAGGCACCCTCGTTTCAGTAGCTCGACGTAAAGGGCGAGCGAAGTCGAGCACTTTAAGGTAGAACAGTTTAACGAGTACCGACCCTCGGTCCCTACGAAGACTCACACTGACTGCAGCCAGTGATGCTTGACTTCGGTGATCTGCTGGGAATGGTGTCTTAACAATCATTCAACTGCGGGCTTCCGAAATTAGAAATGGCTAATTAGTAACAATGCATCACACCTCATGCATTCGAAGAACTGGAATGTATCTCTACTGGAGGTAGTCAGATGGCTAAATGTGAATTCATAGACTATGGCAAAAATTTCTAACCACGGGTTTTGGCATCCTTCTTGTAGAGCGCTACAACCAATCATTGCACCAAAAGATTGCGTGGTTAGACGGACAATGGTTTGTTTGCTCTTTTTACTTTTAGGTTACTGGAAGATCCATCACGTACTAAGTACGCTTATAAAAATCAATGGAAAACGGAAGATTTCACTTTCTTCAAATATAAGATAAATTGCGCAAATAAATTTTGTTCTTTACAACACGAAATAAAAGTCCACAATGAAGAATGTACTCACTTCGGCATGAGGTTTTGTCCTCCTCTAGTTCATACTCTTCAAGACAAGAGCAGCGCACATTTTCACTCTCATCATAATGGCACAAGTGATGACATCCTCCGTTATTTACACCACAAGGATTCTTCTCTGGAAGACACAAAACATTCTACAGTACCTGGGCCGTATTATTAGGCGCACTACTAAAAGATTCTATGTAAAATCTTAATTATCACGTGATACTCTATACAGCTTTAGTGTTTTTACGAGACTGTTTGCACTTGCTTACGTTACGTGTATCAATGGGTTAAATAAGACCCTATAGAATGTAAATTAGACGATAGGATACATTAGGCGATATATTATATACATATAGAATATTTATTATATCAAGTATTATGTAATAAATATTTTATATGTATATAGAATATATTATAATAATTAGATTGAATTATTAGACGCACTGTAGTTTTGTAATAATGAAATGATTTGCACGAGTTTGTATGCAATATTTTTATATTTAAACACACATGTAATGGGTTATTATTCAGAAGATTTTTTATATACTTCCTATTTGTATTTATGTATTACGTAATGTATTGTATCAATGTTAACTCATTGATACAGGAGCGTAAGCACATGTACATCCGATTCAAAACAATACAGCTGTATAGAGTATCACCTGATAATTATAATTTTTACATAGACTCTTATAGTGCTTCTAATAATATAGCCAAGCTCTGCATATATCATTCCCCTGAGGCTCATTCAATATCCTCTATTCCTCAATAGGACACCATACTAAGGGAGAAACTTTTCGTCGTAAATTCCCTCCATAACTAATTTAAAAGAAAGAAAAAGTTCAGACAAACCCACGAATTGCTGAAAAAAGAATTGAAAACATAAAAAATGCAAGCAAATGATTGGAAAAGAACTTCTGAGTTATCTTCTCATTATTTATTTTTCTTTAAAATTTTCTCTTCAGTATTTGAAACGAAAAGTTTCTCCCGTGGTCTGGCGCCCTCGATAAGAGGCCTCCGCGATCTCGGATTTTAGATTTGTTTGCTTAATTGCATTTAATAAAACGTCTTGATCATAAGAGAGTCATGACTTCGGAAAAGATTGAAATCAAAGGAGTCGTTTTACTTGTGCTAGATAAGAACTTTTCTTTAATAAAAACTGTCGCGCTATGTGATGTGTCGACCACTACAAAAATACAATTCCAATTCACTAGTATGTAAGACATGTCAACTGGATTCTATGCTGGGGTACCTTTTCATAGATGAAGGTTGACATTGTCGATAACTACCAACTACAATTGCCTATTTTTAGCTCTTTTTTTTAAATTTAATTTTATTACAGTTTAGACTGATAAAGTGCTGAACATTTCTTCACAAAATGATGCAGCAACCACTACGCAATTCATGAACGAAAACCAGGGAAAATGAGAAGCGTTGGTCATCTCAATGACAGAGGACTCTAAAAAGTATTCAAAAATGAAGAATTATTTTCAGCACTTAGTTGCGGCTTTTTAAAAAAAGTTTAATGTCTGTGCTATTGTATGTAGTCATATTTTTAAATATTTAATCTATATCACTTTCACGCTATATGTTTCAAATATTGCTCTTCGAGCAGCGATGGCTCAGGTGATAGAGCGTTCGCCTTCCAACGAGGCGAACCGGGTTCGAATCCCAGTCGATGCGAATTCCGCTTACGGCTTGCACCGACACCACAGCGCTAACGTGAAATATCCTCAGTGGTAGACGGATCATGGGTTAGAGTCCCCTTGTCGTCTGGCTAACCGTGCGAAGTTTTCGTGGTTTTCTCTGCCCACATAACGCAAATGCTGGTTAGCTCCATCAAAAAGTCCTCCACGAAGTCAAATTTCTCCCAATATTCGATCCAGGAGTTCCCTTGTCTTCTGGACTGAGTTCAAAATGACAAGGCTATGGAGTGGAACATTAGTAGTCGTAAACCCATAAAAGTGGGTCGACTGCTCAACGACGGTTATAATATAAAATATTGCTCTTCTTAACCCCTTGTCAACAAAAAATAAGCAATTTACAAACCGTTTAGGTCAGGGGTGTCAAACTCAAAAGCTAACTTGGGCCAAATAAACAATGCTTAACTTTAGGCGAGCTGCAAAAAAAATCAATGTTCATAGGAACAAATATTTTTATTTTGAATAGTACATTGTAATACGCATATAGTATAAAGTTAAATTATTGTTTGAGTCCTGATACTTGACATCTCTTCTCTGCTACTATCTTTCCTATTTCGGGAGAAATTTCATTGGCCGAGACTATACTTTCAAAATTGACCCAACGTGAGCGTAATTAATACGGTTTCGGATAGGAGATTTATTTCCATTCATAACAGAAAATAATTGCTCCCACTGATAAGTACTTCCAAACATGGAAATAATTTCATACGCGAATTTTCGAGTATTTTCAAAACTTGTCAGTAAATATTTGTAAAATTCAGGCACATCCACTTTAATGAATATTAACTCTTTAACGTCTTGAATATTAGCCTACTAAGCAGAGAATAGCTGCACAAATCAATAAGCGTAATAAGCAACAATCATAACCACTTGTAAGATAACGTATGTATAACTGCGTCTTATTAGGTAAGGTGTGACAGCTGATGCGGTTTGCTGCTGATAGCTTAGTGTAAAACGGACTCCATTTCAGCCAATTAGAATTTTACATTTTCGCGCGTACAATTTAAAATGATACGTATAGTTTATAAATAAAGTATATTATAATTTTATTTGCTGGTTTCGTTTCTAATTCACATTTCTATTTTATTTTTACTTTTCGCCGGATATATTGACTGGGCCGCAAAAATTTTCATCTCGGGCCGCGAGTTTGACATCCCTGATTTAGGTGCTAACCAACCGTATGAACAAATAAAGGAAATATATATAGTCCTTAAAATTGTTTTTCTCCCCTCTATACAAAATTGAAATTCAAAAGCGATTACTTACTTTTGCACGTTCTTCCGTCTTCTTGCAATTCATAACCGTCGATGCAGAGGCACGCCTGTACCCCATTCTCGTAGAGGCAATGATGGTGACAACCTCCATTCTCACGTAGACATGGATCCACCTCTACAATAAACAATAGACAGCTAACTGCTTTTTACCCCTTCACCATTCGACAATAACGTGATTTCAATTTGCCACATTTTTTAAACGATAATTTTGAATAATGTATCACAGGCCTTGACATTCAATATTCGCTTCCAACTCTTGAGTTGTTTTTTTTTTTAATCATCTTAAACTTATATCTAAAACTTATATAAGATCTCAAACTTATTTAAAACTATTTAAAATCTTAAACTTATCTTAAACTATTTAAAATCTAAAACTTATCTTAAGCTATTTAAGAATCTAAAACTACTTAAGATCTTAAACTATTTAAGATCTCAAACTTATTTAAAACTTAGATCTTTAAACTTATTGTAAGCAATTGCCCGTGCTCGGTTCTTTCGAGAGGATCGCGCACGTGACTTACTGAGTTATTGTTTTCTATTCATTTAACGGAGTACGAAAATGATACACTTTTTGTTGGTTTATGTGGGTAATGTGTCGTTTGTCAGTTTAGGGTTTGATAGATAGTATTTTTTATGTTTTGGATTAGTTTTGCAATTTTGTTTCTTCAATTTAGCGAACTTTTTATTACAATATATTCAGGTACAATCAATGATAAAAAAAACTGATAATTTTATCTTATTTAAATGCTGTAATGATTTTATATGAAATTTTTAATGAAATGAATATCACCCCATAATGCTTCGATTGGCCTTCAAAATCCCCAGACTAAACCTTAAAGAAAATATTTGAGATATGCTGGAAAAGCGAAATAAGTAATTTTTTTAATATTTAATTTATTAATAACTATAGAAAAATGTTTTAATATTTTTATGATGTCATTTAGATGTTGATGAATGACTGTTTTACAAAATCCAAGACTCACAATTCAACAGTTAGGAATCAATTTATTCTCTCTGAGTATCGGTTCTCAGTTCTGTTTTTAGTTTTGTGCTGACCATTCATTTTGAGACGAGACATAAAAATTTCATTCACAGATACTGTTAGTTTAAACATTTTTTTTTGTTCAATCGGTACACTTTTATGTACTGAAATTCCGTTCTCAGATTGCCACTGTTGACTGATGGTGGAGCGGTGATGCTTACGTTATGATGGTTATGAAGACTGGTAATCCATAAATGTGATTACCAGTCTTTAAAAGAGATTTAAAAACCGTGATGGAAATTTCATTTGTTTCTCAGGCGTTAACAGGTTTTATTATTTCTTATAGCCACCCGTTTAAAAAAAATTTAAAAATAAAAACTGGCACTGCGTGAATGAACAGTTTCACATGAATTTGCAGCAAGAATAGTTCTTTTAAACCCTAAACGCTTTTTTCTGATACTTAGAGAACACTGTTTAAAGGTTTCGTAAATGAAAATAACAAAGGAAACAAAACAAAAAATTAACAAAAAAGTTACGATCGTCATATTACGATCACTGATTACTCATTGATCAAATTGTTCTGGATGGACTCCGTAAAACGCCCCAACATTTCAAATCATGGTTTGCAAAAACTGTCTGCATTGATGTTTGTCGTCGGATTGGTTCGCATATCTCCTGCCTATGTACGTGTGTCAAGACTTTTCCTTCTTCAACATTCATATTTATATTGAAATCACCGTCAAGACAGTTATTATGAGTTAATAACAAAAAAGAATATAAGAATACTTTAAATTATTATTATGTAAATACATTAATGTCTGCTAGTAAAAAGAAAAACAGCGGTCGCATAGCAACCCTTGCCCACTGTTTACCATTACTCTTGAACACAGTTTAAAAGTGTGTGGACGTTATAAAGTCTAAAAATATTTAAAAAAATAACGGGCTAGCAAAAGCATAAATAAAATAAAATAAACACATAAGGAGATAAACAATAAAATAAAAGCAGACGATAAAATTAGAAGACCTTTTTAGAACAGCAGCGAGTTGTTGTGGAATTTGAGTTTTCGTATATCCCGTTATGGGCACTTTATCTAGTTTGTTTTATAAGATTTAACTATCCCGTTACGGGTACTTTATATTTGTTACTATATTTGTTGTGGTGTGAAATAAATCTTTTTTTAATAAAACAAAGAACTGTTTCTTAACATAGCTTGATACGTTACAAATAGTCCAAACCAAGCCCCATTTTCCAATGGGTAATAAACAGGTCATGTGCTTTGAAAATAAAATAAAACTCTTTCGATATTAGTTTTTTTCCCTTCCACTACAGTCTTTTGGACCACTGATGTGCCCTAGACACGTATTTTCTGCTTCAGAAAGACTCTCTAATTTTTTTTATTTTTTCCTGCTGCGAGTGGAAATACTCGCCGTTCATACAAAGATGTGTACTGGTAAAAACTCATTTGAATTGATTCGAACCATCGAATCAGTACCCAACTCTTACCTTTGCAAGTCTTTTTGTCATCCAAGAGTATAAATCCGATGGCACAGCTGCAACTGAAAATCTTCTCTTCAAAATGGCAATAATGCGAACAGCCACCATTTTCTTTCAAACAAGGATTCTCGTCTGAAATGTGAAAAACAATAAATAGTCAAAACTTTCTCAAGGAAAAAAAAAATGTTTTTTATCAACAACAAAAAAAATACTGTAAGTTAATATGTATAGACTTCAGCGTGTGTACTTTAAGAATTACGAAAATTAAAGAAAAAAACTGCTTACCATGAAGCATAAAAAAAGGAATTAAATAAACACAAAATTAGAAATCTCTCCCTAAATTAAAAAATTCTGTTTTGGGTATTCAATTTTACGCATCGTTTTGTTTCGCTTAAAATGTGTAAAACACTTTTACAGATTCATTTTTGTCCCTGACCTTGTACGGACCATTTCAAGGATTTCTCTAAAGGTGACTCATTTTTTGCACTGTCCCTGAAACAGTAGGTCAAATTTTCATTGCACTTTTTTTGTAGCTTATGGCGAATACGGTCACAAAATAGTGAGAACGTCTTACTCTCGGTTTTATGAAAACAATGATTAAAAAATATCTAATTGAAACAACGGTATCGCGGTGGCTCAAGCGAATGATGAGGCACAATGAAATGACTTAGATTCAAATTCCAGCGATGGAATTTGTTCAATGGAATTCTGCTCCTGACTACAGTGCTGTTGTAGAATCCCCTTAGCCTGGGACATGCCCAGGGATGGTTTCGTGGTTTTTCTTTTCATGTGGCGCAAATGCAGGTGGGTTTCACCAAAAAATGTCTTCCACGACGGTTAGTTTGTTCCAATTCTTGATTAAGGTTTCTGATTTCAATATAAGCAAGTTTTTATTCTGGTAAACGAGGGTTTTGATTCTAATCTAAAGGGAGTTTTTAATTCCGATTTTAAACGGTGGTTTTTAGTTCACTAAACGGATATCTTTTACCTTACAAAAAAGAGAAATATTTTCTCAGTTTTTTTTTTTTTTTTTTTTTTTTTTTTTTTTTTTTTTTTTTTTTTTTTTTTTTT